TGGTTTAATTCCTTTTCACAATTTTTTTTATCATCATTATATCATTATTTGGTAGCCTACTCGTAGAATTATGACTGTTCAATGTTAATTATTTGCATTAAAAAAATCATATAGGTAAAAAAAATTACATAATTATCATGATTATATTTACAGGACAACAATTTACAATCAGGTAATTTCAGAAAGTAATATTCTGTTTGTATTTGCTTTTCTGCATGATCCGCCTCTGAGAACGCTGTTTTATAGTGTGTCTACAGAAGGGAGGGAGGGGGGGCTTTAATAACTTAATATAAAAAACAACAACATTCAACAAGAAAATAATTCTTTTCTTTTGGTAAACAATACCAACTAATTCATTAATCATAATGTTGTTATCTGACTGTTTTTAGCCATTTACCTGGTGATTCGAAATACCCGGAAGTGACCTGCAATACACTAAAAAGGTGATGTAAATATAACCCCTGTCAAGGCCGCTGTATCGTAGATAGACTCGCCGTGTACTGTAGATTTGATTTTTCATTGAATTGGCTTTCCTTTAATACCAACCAACCATTTATAAACTTGTTAATAAAATCGTTTACAGTCAAAATGTAAAAAGTGAATCGGAATACTCTAAATGTACCCGTTATAAAAACAACTCATTATCAATTCAGTGGACCAATAATTTACTTCAAAATAAGCTATAGATCAATAAAATTGATTTCAGATTAACCAATATTTTGTTGCAAAGATAATGTAAAACAGAGACCGGGGATTTTGTATTTCTCTGTATTTTAAACACTCGATATGCGTACATTTGGGGCGCTCTTGCATATACATGTACACTTGTACATTCGAATTCATGATCGTGCTTATAAAAAGAGCATGTTCTGTACTTGCATGTATGTATGTATGTATGTATGTATCCGTAAAACTTTTCGATTTTCCCGAGAATTCATCCTCACAATGTCAATTCAGGTTCCGAAATCACAATACCTTGACATTGTGAGGATGCCGAGAATTGAAAAAGTCACCTCCACTTACAATTATCATGCATGTGTACATGCAGTTTAAAACACGAGACAGAAAAATAAATTGTTGCAAACTTAATGGTTAAGTCGGCAATTAAAATGTGTAAAACTTGAAATTAATAAATGCACGGGCGGTAAGGATTGATAAAAATAAGCGTGAGATAGAGTAAAATAAAATAATATGTAAGATTCGAAATGATTTCAAACCCAATTTTCCATTAATCGCTATGAGTACACAATGTATTTTAACACCGATATGACCCCGACTCTCTGCGGCCACGTGTGCACGAAGACTGGGTTACAAGGCGACAGAGCAGAATGTAAACTGTGCTGTAAGAAGGCGTGAATTATTGTATGTTTAAAAGTATTATTTGATGTATATAGTTTAATATTTAATGAAAAATTTAATGAAGAAACAATTAAGAGACTGATAGTAAAAATTATACTTTACACAAGTATTAATACTTAATACTTCCATCACTAATTGCAATTATTTGCCTTAGCACCTTTTCAATTACAATTGAAATAGAATACAATTACACGGGACAGAGAAATAAATTGTTTGTTTTGTTTGTTTTTTTTTTAAATCGTATTGCTGTGTCGACAGTGAACAGGCCGGTAAAAGCGATTAAGATTCGAAATGATTTTATGCACTAGTGTTTGAAATTAAGATTAAATCAAAGATGCAATTACACGGGACAGAGAAATAAATTGTTTGTTTTGTTTTTACTTTAAAAAAATCGTATTGCTGTGTCGACAGTGAACAGGCCGGTAAAAGCGATTAAAATTCGAAATGATTTTATGCACTAGTGTTTGAATTTAAGATTAAATCAAAGATGAGATTAAGTTATCTTAAACTGTTAAAGATTAAAAAAAAAACCAAACAAACAAACCACAATGTTTCATTAGTCGTTGTTTCTACACGATGGATTTAAAACGTGATCACAGTCTTCACAGATATTTGTTTTGTTTACATGGTTTATGACCGCAGGTGGCTGGTCGATGGTGACCTCGGCAACGTGGGATCGCGGATTGTGTTACATAACAAAAAACATCTAGGTGAACATGGAGAACGTAAAATGCGTACAGTTAATGATCATTAATTATTCGAAGCTTAGAGTTTAATATTACTTACATAGTTATATAGATACATTTAATTCCTTCCTTTATTTGAAGACGTTGTTCCCTTTAAAACTAAATTAAAAAAGAAAAGAAAGTTGTAAAAAATAATTTATGAGTGAACCACAGAACACGTTTAAAACCTTATTTAGAAGAAAATTAACATTAAATACAGTAGGGTATATTATTTATAGCAAGTTTGTTTAAGTTATACACATGAAGAGTTCTGATTTACTTGCCGAATGAAAACGCTTACCTGTTTACGGGACCTGCTTTTTACCTACATATTACGACATATTACGCAATACTCGAACAAAACAACATTTTTATGAGATCAATAAGGTGTTAAAGAGCAACTTTAATTCCTAAATCCATATCGAAATATTTACCGTTTTTGAGTTATAAAGCGAAAACTTTCAAGGGCTCTAGATCCCTAATTTTAGGGGCCAGCCCCTTTTAAATGATATCAAATGAAAGCTCTTGGAATTATGCACAACTTTTATTCTACATGTTTTAACAAATTATTTTTAGTTTTAAAGATATAAAGGAAAATATGTCAAAATTTTTGCTCTTTTTCGCGTTCTAACTTCTGACCCCTCTCTAGCGCCATTTTTAATGCAAAAATCAAGAAAGAAAAACCGATGTGCACAACTTCAATGCTTCTTCTTTTCAATTTCAAATGGTATTGTGCTCCAATTATTACAGTTTCCGAGCCTTTGTCTGGAAACCAGAGGCATAAAAATTTCAATCAAAGGGGAATAACTCGTGAACAGAAGGTAATTTCCGAATTGTATTACAGTATTCTGAAAGTGTTTTGTAAAGTCTAAAAGCTCTGAAAATTTTAACAAAATCCGTTCAGAAATGAGGAAAATATGAAGGTTCAAAGTTGGCGTCTAGGAAAAAAAAAAAGAAAGAATAATAAGAATAATCTTAATCATTACAATCAGTAGAAGGTCTTCCGTTGGAAACGGAAGACCTTAAAAATAAACAGCTTTAACTTAATACTGAGACCTCGGGAATTAATGTTTTGTAAACGGATAGTTACGGCAAAATACGAGGGAAATCTTGATACAGGAATACATGGGGCACTAATGTGATTTTTTTTTTCCTTCTGTAAACTCGGAAAATATTACTATTGCAACTTTTTTAACTTTAACAAAACGAACTAAAATTTTTATATAATAAACATAACAGGTAAAATATCACGCTAATATGATGATTAATGTATACAACAGATAAGGAAAATTTAATTTGAAATTCTTAAAAAGCAAAACTAAAATAATTGCTATTAAATTCATAACATAAAAAGTGTCATAAAAAATAAACAAAACAAACAAAATTAAAAACAAAACCAAATAAATCAACCTGTAAATAAATGAATAAATAAAACAAATAAAAGAAAAGAACAAAACCAAAAATAATTCTGACAAAAAGTAAACAAGAGATTTAAAAAAAAACAAAACAAACAAAATCAAAGTACAAAAAGACAATAACAAAACATACCAACAAACAAACTAAGAAAATAAATAAGGAAGGAGAAATTAGGCAAGGACACAATTAGCCAACACATTCAAAGGAAGTTACAACAAAGCTACATGGGGAAGGAGGATATGGCTACCGTTAACATTAGCACTTGTGAGGAAACAGAAAGGGAAAATTAAACACACACACTCTCCCTCACCAAACACAAACAAACATACACGCACACATCCTCACATACACACACACATCCTCATACACTCACACACACCCTCACACGCACAAACACTACAATAATGAGGAAACAACAAGAGATGCCAATTAACATGCAGAGCCAAAAACAAAACAAATCAAACAAACAAAAAACAGGAAAAATGGAAAGTTGACTCAGGGATAGACACACAGGAAGAAACAACAGTTGATGTTGCCTACAGCGACAGAAACAAAACAAGCAACCAAGAAAAGGTGGGTGTTGACTCTGACAGAGATCCACAGGAAGAAACAAGTGATGAGACAAACAAGATGACACAGATGAAGAAAAATCACAAGGATTGCCGAATAGCATTGACATGTAAGAAAAGAAAAATATGTGATTTCAGTAGGTAAAATGGTTGTGTGGAAAAAGAAATGGAAGAAAGATGATAAACACAGCAGGAGGAAAGTTGCTAATAATAAATCAGCAAAGGGATATAAATGTAAATAATGCATGACAATAAAAGACATCAAATAAAAGTAAAAAGTAAAAAAAAAAAAAAAAAGACGACAACAAAGCAAACAAAATAAAAAAAAAAAAACGAAATTGAATAACAAATGAAACGACGAGACAACAGTAAAATCATAAATAAAATCTCTAAGAGTTAAAATTATTTATACATTGTACATATAAGGAAAAATATCGGATCTAGATGAAATTAAGAAGATATATTGATTTTTTTCTGTAGAAAGTCCTAAATTGAATTGTTTAAAATCCGCTCTAATATACTCTTACGTTGATAAGTAGGCTCAGAAATAATTATATTGTCTGTTGCAAGAATGCTTCTGTATTTAATTGTATGAATGATCGAAGAAGAACCAAGTTTGTATTTTGACTAAATATCTAAAATAATTTCAAAAATACTTGTAAATATAAATAATAATAATAATAATAATAATTCTTTTCTACTATTTTGTTGAAATATAGAGGAAAACATCGAAACTAGAATAAGGAACAAGTGTACTTTTCTTTAAAAAAAAAAAAGGAGGGGTAGGTACTTTTATCTACTTCAATATGTAGGTAAGGAAATTGTGTATAAAAATGATATATATTATAGAAAATGTACTAGCAGTTAAAATTTGGATTTATAAATCATGTTTTGAGATTATTAAAGCTGAGTTTTGATGTTTATGGCTAAGTTTCTTAAAGATATTTATCAAAAATAAAATTTATTACTCAATAATATTAAACTGTAAAATAATTTGATGATGTGTGATGGAGACCAAAAATAGACTTTATATGTCAAATTGGGAATTGTACCCTTAAAAAAGTTAATGTACAGTACGGGTAAAAAAAAAAAAGAAATTAAACCCAAGTCCCCAAATCCTCTTCTTGTGGTGGTGGTGGTGGTGTTGGATGCCAGAAACTCTGTAATTTTTGCCACAGCCAGCTGCATACCCTGACTATTCCACTTTTGATGAAATTGTAGACAGTGTATAAGATTCCACGGGGAGGAGACCTTGGTACATTGCCGTTACGTTCACAATGCTCGTTTACGCTTTGTGCGATTTCTTCCAATATACTGATCAAGTCCTGGAGTTGCGGATTTCTCACTGGGGGACTGCTTAATGCAAAACCTTTTTAAAAAAGCGAATTGTACAAGTTAACGAATAATTAACAAATAATTGAATGATAAAGATATATGGTCCATAATTTTGAGTGTATTAGATTGGAAAAATGCACTTCGTACACAAATGGTATTGTCTTCTCACAATTTTTTTATTAAAATATAAAATTTGGTTTTATGACTATAGTCATAATTTTTTATCAAAATATAAAATTTGACTATATTCATTATATCAAATTATACATTTTAATAAAAAAAAAAATTGTGGGAAGAGTATTTATTTATTTATTTTTTTTAGCCAAAGTTAATTCTGGAAATGAGGACTGACGGAAAAATGAAAATAAAGTCAAATAAAAATTGGGGACCTCGTCAAGACTAGCTTCAAACAGACGTGGACCAATTTAAGCAAATCCATGAGGATCAGAACAAGGTTCACAAAAATAAATTCGGCCATGAATAAGATTTCAAACAGGCTTCACATAAGAATGTAGTCGTCCAGTAAGTTTCACCTGTTCGTTGTCAGGTTAACCTGGGGTCATTCAAGGTCTTTCTATAATACATATTCACGAAATCTTTGTTATGAACAGGCTTTTGTAATGCATAGTATTTCGATATACGTGTTGAAATTAGTAACGTTCGCTTTCAAGGGAAAGTCATTTCTCAAGACAAATTACAAAATGTACACACATTTTTAACTTCAATCAGATTCTCAAAAGATATGCAAAATTACGGACCATATCACTTTTAAATTAGCATTTAGAGTAAAACAAAGCATGAAACACAAACATACACTACCACGAAAAATAGCAACCAATCCACAAACAAACAAACAATAAAAAACATACATGTATCTCAAAACAAGCACAAAAGCCAAAACATAAATAAAATAACAACATCAACAAAATGACAACATAATTTATAAAAACTTCACAAGTATTTTATTTTGGCATACCTGAAGTTCCTATTACGGGTTGGAAGACCGCTCCAGAATTCCAGGCACATATATATCTTCCGCTCTCTTCAATATGGGTAAATCGATTAGCCCCATCTTCCCAAAGGAAAGGGGAGAGGCTATCTCGCCATACAATTACCCATTTATATTGAAAATCCAAGCCTGCGGGCAATTTCACTCCTACAACCCATTTTCCTGAATGCATGGGGACTTGCTCTACAACGACAATCAAATTCACCTTCTGTAGTGAAGAACTATCGCAATATTAAAAAAAGCAACGAGTTTTCAAAGAAATATAAAGGACATTCCTTTCAATCAGAGATGTGCCATTTTAGTCTTCAATGCGATATCCATTTTTTAATCGTGTAAAATCTTATTTAAAAATTCAATTACTGAACTGCATAACTGGTTTGTTTTTGATCCACCCGTGGTCATAAGTTATTTAAAACATTGAAAAGACGTTCTCTAACCCGGACCTGCAATTAGTGCATCCTTCAGATTCCAATTCCCTAACTGGGGGATGGAGCCAGTGACAGCTAGTGCCAGCTGGTCTTGTGGAACTTCGCACTGACATTCTAGTTCAACCCGAACTAATCCCAACCTCGCTGAAATTTCACACACAGCCATTTCTACTTCTATGATAACCATGCAATCTATTGTGACGTAGAGGTAACAAACTATGACGTTGCATCTGACCTTTTTACTGTGACGTCAATAACCATCAACATAAATATGTTCCTCTACAAATTACAAAGGATTACTCAGAGACATTTACAAATATCTTATTTTCACTATTTCATCGGATCTGCAACAGCTTCCAGGCCCGTGCTTTTGCCCCGCACTACCATACTACGCTTGCGCATAGCACTAAAAAATCAAGAGATGTTCCTTTCAAGAAACAAATCCCCACGAAAAATCCCATGTTTGTCTTACCAGAGTACATCATTGAAAAGTCAAATCATTTTTGCAAACATTTGTTTTCTTTTGCCAATATTTTTATTAGTTATTAATCACATTTGACGAAAACATTTGCATCTCTTTCTTTTAACTGTTGAAAATTGGAGTATGTCCATCTCTTTATAGACAATTGAAAAATACAGTAATTTATCTTCACTATATTTAGAATTTTTGTAAGTAGTACATTTTTTCTAGTGCGAAAATATTTTTACAGAAAGAAAACTCGTACTGATGTAAGCATTTTTAGGTCAGCTCAGTTAAATCAGGTGACCTGTTGCTACCTTCCGTCGTCGTGAGACGTTTGTAGTGCGTCGGTCGTAGACTTTTGAACAATTTTAACTTCTCTTGAACCATTATACAAACTTCAACCAATTTTAGCATATCAATTTTAGCATACATCAATGGGTGAAGGGGAACAAAAATTGTGAATTTCATTGTCCATGTCCCCTGGGGCTTGGGGGATCGGCTAAAACCTTCAAAATTAGTGCTATCTTTAAAAATCATCTTTACACCTTAGGTAGCTAAACACAGTTTCGTATAAAATCCAGGGGTTTTTCTCAGAGAAAAGCATGATGGGTAGGGATTTCCTTGCTATTTTTATGCAGTGTACATGAAAATTGCAGCTTTGCATAAAGTAGAGTCTTATCTTAAGATTAAAAGAAAAAAGTATACAAATATTTTTTGAGAATTAATTTTTGTGTGACTTTTTAATAGTGGGAGATAACTCTAAAAAAAGCCCATTAGAATTGCATGATTTGAGTAGCTGATAAAGTAGCTCTTTAAAAAGCTGGAAAATACAAAAAGAAACTTAAAGACTTGTTCTATGAAATGCATAGCACTTATATTTTCTGATTTCTGCACTGTTTCATCAAGGGAGCTAAAAATGCGTGTACTACAATTATACGCCTAAACTTCCCCATTTTCCTCATGTTTCATGTGTCAAATAGAAATCCAGTCAAAGCGCAAATCTAATTTTAAAAAATTGGATGTTCCGAATCCGCTTCCGCTTTTCAAAAGCGGCAGCGGATTCGGGACATCTAATTTTAATTAGATTGGTCAAAGCGCCCCCTAAGAAAACCGTCCCGGTCAAAGCGTCCCCTGAGTTTGGTCCAGGCGTCCCCTGATTTTGGTCAAAGCGCCTCCTGATTTTGGTCTAAGAGACCCCTGATTTTGGTCAAAGTGCCCCCTGATTCTGGTCAAAGAGTCCCCTAATATAATTTTACAGTAATCCGTCCCCAAATATTGGTCAAAGTGCCCCTTGATTTTGGTCAAAGCCCCCCTCATAATTTTTATAGAAAAATTTCATTTCGAAACCGTCCCCAAGCAATGTGCCCCCCCCCCCCATCTGATTTTTATAGAATGTTCGTTTGCAATTTAATTTAAAAAAAAAAACACTAAATTTTTATTTAATTTAATTTTATTTCCCTTTATAATTTATGCTATTTATTTCATATACCGAAAAATACATTTCATACTTTAAGTTTTAGTTGATTTTTGTTTGTTCAGTGTGTCCCATGAAATGTTTCATAGATTAAGTTTGAATAATCTTAAAGTAAACATTAAAGAAAACATTTCCAAAGAAATGAGAATGTTCGCCGGTATCATTTAATTACCCCCCCCCCCCCCCCCAAATTGATACCGATGCCGTTGCTCAGCTCTTGCCAGGCGGGGGCCTAAGTGTGAAATGGTCGTACAGAAATGTAAAATTTGGAAATAGGAAGTTTATTACACTGAATAAAACCCTAAAAACACATACAGTGTATCAAGATAATATTATTTAATAAATTGATATCCTTTTCTCTCTCTCTCTCTCTTTTTGATGCATATATTAAGAGAAAAATGAAAATGGAGAGTAAACTTGATCGGATTACTTTTTACACTACCGAACAGATATTTACTCTTGTTAGCCATAGAACATATTCTAATACTATGATTTACTATGATTCTTCATATGCAAAGATGCATGGGGAACTGAAACTTTTCAGACTTGCATACAGATGTTGTACATAGTTGCATTTAAGTAGTTTTCCTTTCAGGATTTTACATTTAAATTTCTCCTTTTTTCAATTTATCTAATTTAAAAAAAATACGCTACTTGTATAAAATACCGTCCTCAAGTATTGGTCAAAGCGCCCCACAATATATTTTTTAAGAGGGGAAGACGATAAGAAACCGTTTCTAATTATTTATCAATTTGTCAAAATATCACTATCGGTTTCGTTAAAAAATGTTCTCCATGGGGCGCTTTGACCAAAACCAGGGGGTGCTTTGACCAATACTTGGGGACGGTATTTTAACATCAATTTCCTGTAAAATTCTATAACGGGGCGCTTTGATCAAAAGCAGGGGCGCTTTGACCAAAATCAGGGGGCACATTGACCAAAATCATGGGAAGCTTTACTCATCAACATAATTTCATTTTTTTTTTTTTTTTGACAATTTATGGCCAAGCTAGCTCCAGAGACATATATACGGTGGCTGGTATAGAACATGGTATGAGATTTTTTTTTTTTATTAATTCGTGGCCACGAAATAAAAATTCGTGGGAACGAAATAAAATTCGTGGCCACGAATTTTTATTTCGTGGCCACGAATTAATAAAAAAAAATCTCATACCATGTCCTATACCAGCCACCGTACACGATACATATACCTGGTACATGTATTAGCAAATTTAAGATTTCTGGTTTAGATCCGCCCCTCAAATTTCTTTAAGCACTCTCCAGTAAAGAAGATAAAAATCTTATCATACAAAACTGTCATGGACGTCACGAAGGAGGATGATCCCGAAATTGAAACTTTGGTAACTGTTTTACTTTTTTATTTGGTGGATAAGTTTGCTTAATGAACACCAGGTTAATTTAATGAGCATATTAGATTGTATATATTTGGTAATTATCAATATTTAAATACTTAGCATGTTGTTTTTGAAAATTCGGTAAACATGGTAAACAACTTGAATAAATATTCTTTGCCAAATATTGATGTTTCTGAAAACTTGCTTTCAACAAACTATTTCTTCAACACATGTTCAAGTCCTACATTTAAAAATTCAAAATATGGTAGATCTTTAATTGAACTTGGTCTGGCAGATTAGTATATTGAATGTAAGCTACACATGAGATTGATTAAGATGAAATCCTATATATATATATATATATATATATATATCACCAGATGATTTATAAAAATGTGAAAATAAAAGTTTTGTTCAGTGATTTTACATTCTCACAGTTGAATTTATTGGGCTAATTGTATTCGGCGCGTCGGTGCGCTCACGCAACAGATTTTGTTTATAAAATAATTTATCGCTTATACAATTTTGTTAGCATCATAAATAAAAAGAGAAAGTTTCATAGGTGGAATTATGTTTTTGAAGCTTCAACATCATTATTTAACTGCCTGTGGTTTCTTTTATTCATGGCCACTAATTAATACACAGGTTTTATCAATTTTCATTGGCATCAATTTTTGTGCAATCAGCGAATGACTCAGTATTTCGTGAACACAGGTCATCATAAAACTTTTTGATATGCTTCTTACTTTAATGACCATCAAATATTCTATTTTAATTTTCACTCTGCAAAACACAAAACCACAAAAATTAATGTTTAAGGAATGTTGATGGAACCATTGTACATGTATTTTATATGATTGGATTTTTAATGAGATAAGTGGTTGAGAAGACTACAATATGGGGAGGCAGGACTTAATGTACACTGGCACATGATCTGTAGTGCAAATGATCTGTTTAGGTTTACAGGCCAGCCATTTCTGCAACTAAAGTTACTACCCCCTCCTCAAATAAAGACAAGTTAATTTTTAATAGTAGTATTATTTTAATACGTAACGAGGAATCTTTGTCAAACACTGATACCAATGTATGGCAGCTTATTGCCATGACAATCAAGTCTCTAAAAAGGAGGTTAAATTCTAGAGTCTAGGGTCATTATGTAATACCGGTAAATTTTTGTTATACATAAAGAAAATTTATAAAAACCAAAGCACTAAATATTTTGAAATGCTATAGTTAATGTTTGGATATATATATATAGAGAGAGAGAGAGAGAATGAGAGAGAGAGATGAACGAAAGTAGGCCAACTCAAAAAATTGAGGTAAATTTCGGATTACTCTAACACAAATTGTGGTAAGGCATGCATGGATCAAAGGGGATCCGGATCCTTGGAAAATTCAAATTTATTTAAACTGACATACCTGTAGTAAAATTACTAAAGCTATGCCTCGGACCTCTTCCCCTTGCGATTTGAGCCAACACCTCCTAGGGAAAAATTTCTGGATCCACCCAACAAAAAATTCAATCGGGCTCGGGCTGTCGACTTGAATATAAGTGATAATTCTTAAATTATAAAGAAATTCGATGTCATTTGAGTGTTTTAATGCAGGGAGAAAATACTTTTGTGATATTGGGATGAGATGGACGCGCAGTTATGCCGACGCGCCGAATACAATTAGCCATTTATTGACTCTTTCTCAACATTGACATTTACTTTGTATGGTGTGGAAACTACATTTTGTATTTAATTTTTTATCATTTCATTTTATCATCATGCTATAATCAACTTTTAATACCCAGTATGTCTCTGGTAAATTTTGTTCTGACACACAGAGGGTTCTTGTCATATTGTTTTTAATTATATCTTCAAATTGAAATGTAAAGGTTTTTCCCACTGTCTATAAACATCTGAAAATGTAAATATACACAGTATTTCATAATATAAGACAACAATCAATAAATTTTGTGATTTTCTAATTTACAGAGACAGGAACTAGACTGGCTTCTGACAGACCAGGTGCACAAGGTCCTTGAAGAAATCAGTAGTATACTGTGGGTAAGGAATTAAGCAGCAAATTCTGCCCCTGAAGAAATTAATCCAATGATTTCAGAATATAGCTGATATTCAGCCAACTGGTAATACACTGATGACTTCTTGATTTCTAAAAGATCTATAAATTTCAGAACATGTACCAATATATTAACATGGTCTTCAGCATATTAAAAAAATATAAAAAAAAGCCACTGCAGGTACCCTTTTAAAAGGTCACATTATTCCAGCTGAACATTAAGTACCATACATAATTGTCTGTCTGATATTTCCTATTAGCAAAAGCCAAAATGCAAATTTTTAACATTGGTGTCATCGTGAAATATCACAATTGTTGAATGAATGACATGTATTTGTTAAGAATATTGACTTTCATTTAAACATGTATATATATAACGTAAAATGTGTTTTAGCAACCCTTTTGATGGTAATGATAAATTAGTAAATGTAATCTCTGTGATTTTTTTCCCTTAAAATGAATTTTCCTTTATATAAATGTAATGAGTTGTAGGTATACATGTGTACCAGTACTAATGCGAATGTTTCATAAAAAGTATACATAAAGTTTTGTGTTATATATCTGTATATGTACTATTATTTTACAATGTACATTTCATGTAAGTTTGGTTTTGACAGGGTTTACAAATTGATTCCTTTATTGCAATATGGATGTGGTGGGTGGGGGGACTAAAGAAAAGGTTATGTTACATATATATCACATTAAATATTCAGTAAAAATATTTATAGGGCCATATCTATAATAATGACATCTAGAATGACAGAAGCATTGTTTCACTCGAACAGTATGAAATTCTTACAGTCGATAGAATGAACAATGTATTCAAGTACTCAATGAAACAATTTCCACTCAATTGTAAAGTTCAGTTTTATCCATGTTTTACATGAACATTTACAAACACTATGTACCTTGACTTTATTCTTTAGTTTCATCTTTTCTCTGTGTAAAAATTACTTTGAATTATACATTTAGTATAATGATATTATTTATTTTTGTTTGTTTTACATCAGTAATAGTGGATGACCTAGTGTATTTTAGATATTTTCAGTGAATGTTAGTCAAAATTCTTTATATCAATTGTGAAGCAGATGTTTCTTTTTTGAAGTTTTTTCTCTGTGTAATAATTACATTGAATTATTCATTTGTTATTATAATATATTTTTCTTTCTTTATGTTTTACACCAGTAACAGTAGGGTACATTTATTTTAGAATACATTTTCAGTGAATGTTTAGGGAAAATTCTATTACAGTTGTACTTCGGTATCTCGAACACAGAAATCTCAAATATCATGAATATGTCAAAGTGATTTTGAAGTCCCAACTGCTTATTCCCTATTAAGTATTTTACCCTGGATATCTCGAATCCTCGGTTATCTCAAAGTATTTTCTCGGTCCCTTTGAGTTCGAGATAACAAGGTTCGACTGTATATCAAATTCTGAATCAGATGTATTTTTCAAGATGTTTCAAACATATAACAAACATATATAACATATGTTCAACATTTTATGTCCATAAGTACATGTTTTTGTTAAATATAAGTGTATTGTGTGAATATTTCAGAACTTAAAGAATAATTCTAAAAATTCATGATTTTAAGTTATTTTGAACTTGCTGTTTATAGCATATAACAATTAATTTATGAAAATGACATATGCATGCAAAACAGTGTGAGAGATAAAATGGTGAATCATCTATATTGGTAATTTATTCGGCTGAAATGAGTTTTGAATCAATTTATCAAATTACAAGGAAAATGTACTGCTACTTTACTCATACATTTATTTTGTTAAACATTAACTGAAATTTGTGAAGTAGTGAGGATAAATTGAATTTTCTATGATAATAGATTAAATTCATGTGGAAAAGGGGTGGGGGGTTGTCAGTGAAGTTTGGGTGGAGAGGGGCATCATTTTTGTTAGCTTACTTTTGATTACTATTTTCTAAAAATTTATAGGAGTGCTCTAGACGTCTCCCAACAAGACCCGGTCATGGTAAGAATTTTATGGTTTATTTCTGTTGTTTACCATTTCAAATTGAAGGGAAAACTTAGTCTATGATTATTATTGTTGCCTTAAAAGATGCCATCTCCTCATCACATCGAAACTTAATTTTCATTGTGATGCCCTGAGGAAAGTTTTACTTTTCTACTACTCCTTATATGATCCAAATTTGATATGAAACAAAAGAGGACATTGCAAACGGAGTACATGGTTTTGGAAACTTAAGGAACTGTGTAAAAGATGCAACTTTTGTTAATGTGTTTCAGATGAAAGCAAAAGTCTAGTGATGCCTCAAAGACTTCTTTTGTCTTGTACAAAGTGAGTTAAATATTATAAATATCTAATATTAAAATCATATTCGTGATATTTTAACAGAAAGTTCTTAAATGTATTGATGCCTATCTCTTTTTTAGTGGAAGTAATGGCTCTGTGAAGTGTGTTGTTACTTTAAAGGGGGATCGAATTTCAGATGGGGTGAGATATTTTTCTTAGTAGCTTGCTAACAGCTAGTACATATTTATTGATTTGTGATAAAAGCATTCTTTCACTCTTCTTACTGTAAGAGTAGAAATATTTGTCTATGAAAACTTTACTGAAAGGATTGCCCATTAGTATCAGTGTGCATATTGTATATTGTAGGATATCAGCTTTAAACATAAACAAGGAAAAGATAACCACGTCTACAAGACATCTATAAACCCAGAGGTCACATGGAAACTACAGCAGGTTAGCACTCCCTTTACTTTTAAACATATAATATTATAGTGTGTGATGCTCAGCTTCCTACTAGCTTGGACTAGAGGGTATTCTTTGGAGGATCAAAGTGTTTGTCCTCCCCAGAACTTCACCCCAAAGAATAGGATGTTGGCACTCCCTGAGAGATAAGGACACATCTTTTATCTGGAGGGTGACAATATGGTAGTGTGTGATGCATGACTTTCTACTAGCTTGGGCTAGTGGGTCAGCCCTTTAACTTGATTGGTATGCCAGAGGTCCCAGGTTCAATCCCAAGCAGAGGTACATCATAGCATGTGTTTTGTTCAGGGCTCAAACATAATTAAAATATGAATTTATCCATCAGAGAAGTTGCCAACAAATGTTACTTGTCTGAATGCATATTTTACTTGTCCAATTCTGAACAGATATAAAAAAATTGAAGAACTTTATTAAGGCTGAAGTAGCTGTGAAAATACCCATTATAAAGCTTTATTCAATCATGAAAATAAAAATATTACTGATCCATTAATTACCGGTAGTTATACTGTATTCGATGAGGTGTAACTGAGCCTTTAAGATCGAAAAGTTAGATGTTTCTATTAAAAAAGAATCACAGTGTTGTTTGAATTCTGTGGAGATTTATTCACATTCTTCTGGTAAAAAGTTTTCTTGTCCGATCCTTTAAGTGTTTGTGTAGATTGACTTGTATGATCTAAAAGAACTTAACATGAACAATCAGACAAATGCTAATGTTGAGCCCTGCTGTTACACATAAATATTTTGATCTGCTCACAGAGAACACTCAACGAGTGTGACTGATCTGTGTGAGTGGATCTAAGTATCTGATTTTAAGGATCTAAGTATCTGATTTTAAGGATCTAAGTATCTGATTTTAATCAGATGTTCTAGTTCTAAATTACAGATTAACATGTACAGTATATGTATCTGTTAGATTTTTGTTTGATTTTTTTTCCTTTTTTGATCATTCAATATGATATTTTAGAATAAAAAAAGGGAAAAATTAATGCTTATTGGATGTCTCAAAAATATTTGATATTTTGACTATTTTATTCAACAGGTACAGGATGCTACCAATTTTCTATACAGTGCCATAAATATCATTGAAGAACAGGACGACAGAACGGGTTATACTTCAGCCAAACAAGTCATTCTGGTCAGAATTGCCATTTACTGTGCTATAAAGTCAAGTTTATTCTCTTTCAAGTTATTTATAACCTGAATAAAGTCAGTTTGTATGAATCAAGTCATTCTCATTCATATGCATGTAGGAAAAGTCACTTATTATCTCATTCAAGTCACTTAGTGTTGTTTAAGTCACTCTCAATCTGCCCTGAAGATAAAAACTTAGTCATAGTTCTTGGTCAAAAGGCATTGTATTCTGATTCATGTTAAAAAAAAAAGTCCTCAGTCAAATCAAACCATACAGAGTCCTTGAGAAAGCATCTCAGATTAACTTAGTCATTGGAAGAGGACCATACAAGTCAAGTAAGGAAAATGTCTTAGCCTATTTCTTCTTTTTTTTAAAATTTTTGGTGGGGAGGGGGAAAATTAAATTGCTGGGTGAGACTAGGTTATTTGTTCATGCAGGTTATAACATTCTACAGCAAATATCAGTGTACATGACTACATGTATAGTATTTCTTTACAATGTCATGTGGAGTATTTTTGGAATGTTAAAGAGATATTCAGTAAATGTCAGTTTGATTATGAAAGGTATTTTTATCTCATTGCAGCTTCTAGACAGGGTGATTGACAGTTTAAACCAGGGCAGATCTGCCTTGGCTTTTCCCAAAAGGAAGTCTTTAGAAGAACTGGTGTATAATAGAAATATGGTAAAAAGCCAGATCTCATTTCAAAATTCGGCGTTAACATTAAATTAATTATTGACTTACTGTAATCACCATGCTTATTTTTGTCCATTCTTGTCACTCGTAAATACAGATATGTGTATGTACAATAAATCAAAATTAATTTCACAAACACGATTCACAAATTTCACAAATTACTCATAAAAATAATGAAAAATGTCACACTCGCACAGAGAAACAATCACACACACACATTTAAGGAAGCTCTAAACACTAATGAAAAATGCTTTTTGGGCTTTGAGGAAAATATATCATATAAAGGTGCACATATTCAGTGTATCTAGTTCATTTTCAACATAGGGTGCCTGCCTTATTTCTGTGCAGAAAAAATGTTCAAAGACAATGAACTATTTGTGAACAGAAATCACTGTTGTTTACTTGCATCGGGAAAGTTAATGGAAATAATTTATTCAATTACTTAATCTTGGCCAAACATAACATTAAGAATACTTTAATTCATAAGAAATTGTGTCATTAACTGTAGATTCATGTTTATACTATTTTTATGCCCCGCCATAAATATGGCCGGGGCATATAGTGTTTGTCATGTCCGTCTTCCGTCCTTCTGTCCTTCCGTCACACTTTGCGTTTAGCTCTGTTCAAAGCTCACTTTCAAAGAAAATATCCAAGATATTTTTATCAAACTTCATATGCTGATAGATATTGATGAGGGCTATGCAACTGCATCAACATTTTTTGACCTTGACCTTTCCTTTGACCTTGACCTCACTTTTCTTAAATTAGTGTTTAGCTCAGTTTTAAAGATACCATTCAAGATAGTGTAATCAAACTTCATATGTTGATACATACTGATGTAAGCTATTCAATTGCATCAACATTTTTTTGACCTTGACCTTTATTTTGACCTTGACCTCACTTTTCTTAAATTAATGTTTAACTCTGTTTTAATGAAACCATTCAAGATATTTTTAACAAACTTCATATGCTGATACATACTGATGAGAGCTATTCAACTGCATCAATATTTTTTACCTTGACCTTTCCTTTGACCTTGACCTCACTTTTCTTAAATAAGTTTTTAGCTCAGTTTTAAAGATACCATTCAAGATAGTGTTATCAAACTTCATATGCTGATACATACTGATGAGAGCTATTCAACTGCATCAACATTTTTTGACCTTGACCTTTCCTTTGACCTTGACCTCACTTTTCTTAAATTAGTTTCTGAATCAAACGTCATATGCTGATACATACTGATGTAAGCTATTCAACTGCATCAACATTTTTTGACCTTGACCTTTCCTTTGACCTTGACCTCACTTTTCTTAAATTAGTGTTTAGCTCAGTTTTAAAGAAACCATTCATAATATTTTCATCAAACTTCATATGCTAATACATACTGATGTAACCTTTTCAACTGCATCAACATTTTTTGACCTTGACCTTTCCTTTGACCTTGACCTCACTTTTCTTAAATTAGTGTCAAACTTCATATGCTGATACATACTGATGAGAGCTATTCAACTGCATCAATATTTTTTGACCTTGACCTTTCCTTTGACCTTGACCTCACTTTTCTTAAATTAGTGTTTAGCTCAGTTTTAAAGAAACCATTCATAATATTTTCATCAAACTTCATATGCTAATACATACTGTAACCTTTTCAACTACATCAACATTTTTTGATCTTGACCTTTCCTTTGATCTTGACCTCACTTTTCTTAAATTAGTTTCTGAATCAAACGTCATATGCTGATACATACTGATGTAAGCTATTCAACTGCAGCAATATTTTTTGACCTTGACCTTTCCTTTGACCTTGACCTCACTTTTCTCAATTTGTGTTAAAATGTTGCATTACTAATATACCCTTGGCGGGGCATTCATGTCCTATGGACATATTTCTATTTTTGACCTTGACCTTTCCTTTGACCTTGACCTCACTTTTCTTAAATTAGTGTTTAGCTCAGTTTTAAAGAAACCATTCATAATATTTTCATCAAACTTCATATGCTAATACATACTGTAACCTTTTCAACTACATCAACATTTTTTGATCTTGACCTTTCCTGTGATCTTGACCTCACTTTTCTTAAATTAGTTTCTGAATCAAACGTCATATGCTGATACATACTGATGTAAGCTATTCAACTGCAGCAATATTTTTTGACCTTGACCTTTCCTTTGACTTGACCTCACTTTTCTCAATTTGTGTTAAAATGTTGCATTACTAATATACCCTTGGCGGGGCATTCATGTCCTATGGACATATTTCTATTTCTTCTAAGGGCAGATCACTCTAACTCAATAAAACTACCCTACAAATAGAACTCTTTAGTGTGCAGTGTTTAGAGCTTCCTTAAGAATAATCACTCGGACATGTAGTAGCATTCAGACATGTACTTATGTATGTAAAGAGCAATATATTTGCTTTTTATTTCCCCTGCAGTCTAAATTCAAGGGAGCAAATACATTTAGACACTCGAACTCAGTTAGGCAGGTTCATGCTTACTGGCAAAAAGTATATGCGTACAACATGTATTACTGAACGTAAAGTTGATACCCTCATTAATGAGTATGTGTAATAAATCTGGTACAAGATGGGTTATTAGGGAAAATAAAATAAGGTATGTCAGAGGTAACATTTTGTATTCAACTCATGGCTTGTGTTTCATCTGAATATGCTCAGATTCCTGTACATTATTTATGCCCTGATGGCAGCCAGATTGAAGTCATATCATTTAAACCTGTGAATTTGCTTTAATTTGATCTATAAAAAATGAAAACATCAGCACTCTTTATTAGATTTATGTAGAAAACCTACTAAATCCCATCTTTTAACACTTTTTTCCACCAGCAAACTCTACGTCCTTCAGTGCCAAATCATGTAGCTTTAAGTTTTTATGTCCATGCCTCCAAACTAATCCTGTCTGTTTATCATCTGGGGAACAATGCCTTGACACATCAACTGGACATCATCTCCAGAAATCAGGTCAGTATACAGAAATCTCTGGAATTCCATATAATGGGCAATTTCTGTGGTTGTCCAATTTTTGTGGAATTTTGCAGTTTTATCAAAATCACAAAAGTAAATATTTATTTTAATTACTAAAATATTTATAAAGTCCTGTATATTTGATATTGCAGTTTAGGAATTTGAAATATTAAATGCAGTGCAGAACTTAAACTGCCATTTTCAATTGCCAAATTTCAAGGATCAATTCACAAATATTTCAAGCTGCAGAAATTACCTATTATACAGTATGATGCCTTTTTGTCCTACTGATTGAGCTTTAAGATATGAAAACCAGTGAGCATATTATGTAAGAGAAGTGAATAAGTACGACACAGAATCAGCTGACCACTTTAAACTGCTGACTAGAATTTTAAAAAAAGTGTTTATCTACTAGGTTGAGTGTTCAGTGCAGTGGTTGAATGAAGCGGTGATGTTGTTTACGTTAGCCTTACAACGATGTCAACAACTCAAAGATAAGGTCAGTGGGACCCCCATAACTTTTTTTAGCATCAAGTGGTTACTTACTCTGTTATTTTTAGGTTTGAGCTTTAGACAGACAAACACTAGGTGTGCAAGTAAAAAAACCAGCTATGTATTTCATGATATCTATTCATGGGGGAATTTCATACATCTTACAATTTTTAAAGTGGTTATTTTGCTACTCAAGCTGATGGTTAGTTGGGGAACAAGAGAATTTTATTCATTGTTAAATTTTGAACTAGAAATGAATACTGTAATTTTAAGATGAGGCCCTCCGCAGGTGCTCAGTCTATCTGCCTCTCAAGCTCAATGTTGGCCATCTGTCTGTCCATCCAATTTCACTTGTTTAGAGTATATTTTCTCTTCCCTTGATAGAGATAGACATGAATTTAGCAAGAGTTATTTCCTGTTTGCTGCCATATTGGAGATCAACATTCTCAGATTTCTTCATATTTTCTTCAGTTTAAATTTTTCAATCATACTGGTGATTGTGGTGTAGGAAACATTGTTTTACTGAAGAATATACATTTGTTAAGGCCTCCTTTAATACAGAATTTTCATTTTTAAAAAAAAATTTCCCAAATATTTCTGCTATACTTCTTTTAAATTTGGTAAAACAAATAAGAAAAGTCATCAGAATTACCTCTAAGATATCAGACTTACCTCTAAGATGGCAGCCAAGGGAAATGACTCGGAGGGAAAATATGTCACACTAAAACCATCTATAGAGTTCCCATGGGTAAAGGGTATATGTAGTGATCTTGAACTAATTCCCTAGATCAAAAGTATCTTTGGGAAGATCCTTGTCTTGGGGCTTATTTTCTCTTCCTTTGGTCTGATCTGGCTCATACTTCACCCACACAGGCATAGTGTCAGTGGGTAAAAGATGTGCAATGACCTTGAACAAGTTTTCTAGATCAAAGGTCACGATCAAAAAATATCTCTGTGTTAAATCTTTGTCTGGATGATATTTTTCCTCCTCTTGGCCAAATCTGGCTCAAACTGCACCCAGATAAAGTGCCTGTAGGTTCAGGATGTGCAGTGAACTTTAACCAGTTTTTAGATCAAAGGTAAAAGTCTGAAAACATCTCTATGTAAAATCCTTATCTGGATCATACTTCATCCATAAACTGCTCCCTGGTATAGGAATTCCAGTGATCTTTAACCAAGTTTCTAAGTTAGAGGTCATGGTTATAGCACATCTCTGTGTAAAATCCTTGTCATGAGCATAATTTTTCTTTCATTGGCTTGAGCTTGCTCATATAAAGTACCCATTATTAAAGGTACATGTCAAAGGTCAATGTCAACTGCTAGAAGATCTTGTAGGAAATTTCTTATTGTAAATATTGTGAGCATATTTTTCTCCCCTTTGTCCAATCTGTTTCAAACTTCAACCAAGAAGTGCTCATGTCTAAAGTTTGTGCATTGACTTTGATCTAGCTTTCTAGATCAGAGGATAAAGTCAAAGCAGAACTCTGTGTAAAAAATTCAAGGTCAAAGTGTACCTTTCAGTAAAATCCTTATCTGGAGTATATATTTTCTACCCTAGGACCAGTGTGGCTAATACATCACCCAAAGAGTGGCCTTTGGTAAAGGGCATACAGTGATTAAACCAAATGATAGGTCAATTTTATTCTTTTTAAGTTAGATGGTAGTAAAGAATCACTGACAGAAGTAATGAAAATATTAAAGAAATTTTCAGAAATGTCTGGTTTATATATCAATTGTTCAAAATCCCATGCAGTTTGGATTGGTTCCAAAAAATATAGTCAAGAAATATTAAGTCATGAGTATAACCTTAAGTGGGGATGTACAAGATTTACCTTACTTGGAATTCATTATGATGTTGATTTAAGTGAAATTGAAAGACTCAATTATGAACCCAAAATAAGACAAATAAAAGCCACTATTAGCCAGTGGAGTAAGAGATATTTGACACCTATTGGGAAGATAACTGTTCTTAAAACTCTTGTTCTACCTCTCTTAAATCATATACTAATGGCTATTCCCAACCCATCAGAAAATTTTTTGAAAGAACTTGAAAAATTATTTTTTTCATTTGTATGGAATGGTTTACATCACAGAGTGAGGAAAGATGTCTTAGTAAAAAAGTACGAAGAAGGCGGACTAAAAATGATAAATCTTAAAGCTTTCATTGCATCTCTTAAATTATTTTGGATGAGACAGCTCACTCTGTCAGATAAAGGTTTACAAAACTTTTTACCTAATATAGATTTGATAAAAATATTAACATGTGGCATTGAATATATTAAAACTATCATGAGGAATTTAAAAAACAAGTTTTGGAAAGATGTCTTTGAGGCTTGGACTGTTTTAAATGATAAATATTCTATTGACTGTAAGGTTTCAGGAGATGTACCGATTTTTTATAATCCTAAAATTGTCATTGGTGGGAAAGCTATTTATAATAAGAATATGTATGACCTGAATATTAGATTTATAAATGATCTTATAGATGATAATGGTTTCTTTTACAGTTATGAGGGTTTTCGTGATATATATCCAAATATTAAACTCAACTTCTTAGAATTTGCAGGTATAATACATGCTGTAAAAGCATGGATGAAAGCAATGAACATTAATGATATTATTGCAAAATTACCAAACCCATTAATTTTGTCTAGCACTCATATTCTTTCAAAGTGTAAGAAAGCAAAACAGTTTTATGAAATAATCAATGTTAATGATGTTGAACCCACTGGGAAAACAAGATGGAATGATATTTTTGACTTGGGGAAAAATGAATGGAAGATGATTTTTAAACTTCCTTTTAAAATTACAAAAAATAGTAAACTTCAATGGTTTCAATATAGAATTTTAAATAAAATACTTGGTACAAACTCCTATCTATATAAAATTAGGAAAAAAGATGATAAATTATGTTCTTTTTGCAATGTGGAAGAAGAAACAATAATACATGTTTTATGGGAATGTGACAATGTACAAACTTTTCTTAACAGTTTTGAAGTATATTGTGAGTAAAAGATGGGGCTGCAACTTTCATTCACAAAGCAAAGTTTTATTTTGGGGTTTCTAGGAAAAAACAAAGATATTCATAACTTGTTGGCCTTGTGGATAAAATACTATATTTATACAATGAGATGTTTAGGAAAAAAATTAGATGTCAGACCTGCAACTTCACATATTAAACTTTTTTATGAAACTCAGAAATATTTATCATACAAAAATGGAGACAAAGAGGTATTTGACACCAACTGGAATCAATGGAATCAATTGTTTTTATAAATCTGTTATATTAATTATTCATGTATTAAATGAAAATTGAAATACATGATAACATGCCAACTCTCTCCCCCCCCCCCCCCCCCCCCCCCCTCTCTCTAAAAAACCACAGTCTGAAAAATATTAAACTTTGTATTATATCATATCTCTCTCTCCTTCCCTCCTCCTCTTGCTCTCTCTCTCTCTCTTAAAAACCACAGTCTGTAAAAATGTTAAACTGTGTTTTATATTATGATATAACAGATTGTGTATTAAATAAAGAATTAAAAAAAAAAGAATAAAATGAAAGAAATGTAGAAATGCAGATAGCATTTTTTCCCCCTTAATACTGCATCATAAATTTTTCTAAGCACACAATGGTCCTTTCCAAATAGAGTCCTTGACAAGTCCCTTTCAACAAAGTCCTTTACTAAAAGCAGATCCCTTTAAGATGGTCACCATATCACTAGTTAAGGTAAAGAATTTTAAGCCCATCTAAGCTACAGCTGGTGAGTTTTTTTCTTGTAATAAAGGGGACATTACTTCACTTGAACAATCAGACACATTTTTGCAATACCTTATGTACCATGACCAATTTTACACATCAAAAATGATTACTAGTATATCTTCACGTTTGAAGTTCTCTATCGTAATGAAATGTACGGTACATGAATATTCATAGCTGATTGGCTTAGAGTCCCATGTAAGGGTCACAATTAGAGTGTCTAAAGTTCTGAAAGAAAAGGGAAACCTGCAGTTTATTTGTTGGATCCTATCTAATGTGAACAAAAATGTGTCTTTCTGTCCAGGTGTGTCTTCTGCAGCAGTGTGACAATGGATCATGACACAAAAGAATATTCCAGATTGTTTTATGCAGCATACAGAGAAAAACACAAAACATTTCATATCTTTTAATTCATTGTGATATTTGTATTTTGTTATTGTACATAAGATTTGATTAAAATACATGTTTGCAGTTTGTTAGATTTTCTTCTTTTTATTTGTCAAAGGACTATATTCTATAATGACCAATATTTGCCCCCAAAATCAAAATGATGGAGAAATGTGTAATATGTTCAAAACCAGGGGGGATATCTCCAATCTTCAAAGCATTTAATATTTTCATCAGCCATGATGCCATATGTTCGATATGAAGTCATAAAAATGAAAAAGAAAATTTCAATGATATTTAGAGAAGAAAGTTTATTTTACGTCAATGTTTTGATTAAAAGTCACTGTGTGCAGGTCTGCTTCAAATCAATCTTTTGATATAATGTTTAGAATGATAATATCAAAGAAATATATGAATATTAATTGTTATCAAGTTTGAACTTTGAAAATTATATAGTCAAAATTGAACAAATTTTGTCCTCTTTCTTAAATATACTAGAAGATCCAAATAGTTTGTGACATCACAGAAACAAAAATTGCCAATAATCTATTTTCAAACTACAGTAAAACACCCTTATAGCAAACAAGTTCATATTGAATTGATGCTTACAGCAAAATAATTTTCATTTCCTGTGACTATAAAAGTATATTGTAAGCTGAAGGGATATAGCGAATTATGCTTATAATGGAGCAAAATCCTCCATCTCTGGCATTTCGTTATAAGCATGTTTTACTATATAATTTTTTAGGGGGTAATTCAGATTTTTTAAACAATATATTCAATTCAGCACATTTTAAGAGATTTTTCAAAATTTTAATTTTATTGAGGTGAAAATATGCATATACCTCAATATATAGTTCTTTATTCATGAATTTTATTTAGAACATGTGAAAAGACAAGATTTGATTTTTGGGGATTGGGGGTCTTTAAAACAATAGGATCATTTCTGAATATGATTTAACATTTGTCTGGGTATGAGAAAATTTTCTAATTACTGCTAATGTTTTGTGCAATTGGTGAGAAATTTCAGGAATTGCATGACACAGATGGTTCTTGCATATCTGATTTTAAGGGTTTACAAGAATTGATGGTGTTCCAGATATTGGTCTGTCTGAAGAAGAACTAGATATTTTTATGTTAGCAATAAAGAGGAAGTAATTACTCATGGTTTGAGGGTCTTGTATGATTATAAACCAAAGAGGGATGTGACTGAACTTCCTTTCTGCTGTAGTGATATTTCATCTAGATTAAACAGAACAAAGCTTGGAGTAACAACACTGCTATTCTTAATCATCTGCTCATGACACTTAACACTAAGTATGAATAAAGAGCATGTATAATTTATCATTTGATCTCGACAATTGCAGCCATTATGCAATGACTACTGGTGTTGATGACTCTGTATATACTTGTTTTTCTCATCAGGTTCTTCTGCCACCTACACTTTCTCTTATTAAACTGGTCAGATACACGTAATGCCTGCTGACACATGCTATTTTTATTGCAATAAATTACAGACTAGAGACTGTTGCTCAATTAGATAAAAGTCAGCAAGGTTCGAAATTCACTTAGGGCCTTTTTTGGTCCTGCAAGTTTTAGAAAAAGTAAAACTGCTTAGTTTTAATTGACAATGCATTAAATATTATTTTGACCCCTGTGACTGCATATCTATTAAAAATACTAGGGATTTCAATTTTGTCAGTAATTCATATTCGAATATTCAATGAAATTATTCGAATATATTCGAATATTCAATAAGATTTAGTTCATTTTATATATGCATCATCTTACCCTCATGACAGATTTGGAAGAAAAATTGGGTGTAGAATTTTGTGGGTGTACAGTAAGGAATTTTACATTTGCTATTTGTCGATGTTTGAAATAAATAGACTGATTTGAATGTACATGTAAACATCCGAATTATAATTCTACAAATTATATTTTTAAGCTCTAAACGATGAACTGATCGTCTTATCAAGAGCAAGGTTGTCGTATACTGTTCAGATTTAAATGTATGTAATTAATTACAATTATCTACCCAATAAGAGTTGTAATTATAATCCTTGATTCAATGTTTTCAAAACACAAACAAACAATTCCAAGGACAAGCTTCGTAGTTGATTAACTATTTTCCCGAAAATGATTTTTAGAATTTGGAATATGTACAATCGAGGTAATCAAGTAATTAACGCAATTTATTCTGAAATTGATCCCTTTACGATATTACAGACTAATTAATTCAATGATCAATGAATTTATTTTGTCAAGTAAACTCTTCACATCTTTTAGATTTACAAAGAAGTGTTTCATTTTGATGTCCTCGAAATTAATCATAGTTATCTATTTTTTGTGAAATCTGGAAAAAAAAACGAATATTCGAATCATAAATTCTTATTCGAATATCAACTCATCGAATGAATATTCGAATAATCGAATATTTGTTGACATCCCTAATTAAAAATGACATAATTTTCTGGCTAGTCAATGCATAATGACATCAAGAATAGCATCATTTTTCTAATATCTTGAAAATATTACAAAAATGGCCAAAACTTTGATCCCCTTTGGTGGCCCCATGTCATCCCTGGGGGCCAGGCCATGGTTTGAACAAAATTGAATCTCCAATACCTTAGGATGCTTGCAGCCTTGCACATAACTGTTCATGGCCCAGTTGTTCTTGATAAGTTTTTAAAGATTGTTTCCTTTATACATGTATTTATTTATAAAACTGGCCCCATCCTACCTCACGGGCCATGGATTGAACAAATTTGAATCTCAACTATCTAAAGATTTGTCCCCTGTACATTTCTATGTAAAATTCTGATCCCTAAGGGGCCCCCTACCCCCATGTAAAACTTTGATCTCCTATTGTGGCCCCACCCTAACCCTTGGTTTGAAAAAAATTAAATCTACACTGTGTCAGGAAGCTTTCATATAAAATTCATCTACTCTGTCCCTGTGGTTCTTGAGAAGAAGAATTTTTATATCACCCCACCCTATATTTGCCATTTTTTGATTATCTCCCCCTTGCAAGAAGGCGTGGATCTTCATTTGAGTAAACTTGAATATCTTCACCCAAGTATACTTTGTGCCAAGTTTTGTTGAAATTGGCTCATTGGTTCTGGAGAAGAAGATGAAAATGTGAAAAGTTTAGGGCGCCGACGACAGACAGCAGAAAATTTTTGATCAGAAAAGCTCACTTGAGTCTGCAGCTAAGGTGAGTTAAAAAGCAATATGTATTTTTTACAGTAGGGGTGACTATATTTCAAGAAGGCAAATATTTTTTTGACAAACTCGTGTTCAAATAAGAAAACATTGGAGGAGGAGAATTTTGATATGACAACTTAAAGCCGTTTGAAATGAAAATTTAAATCTACTAGTATATTTGAAGTAAATTTTAAAATCAATAAACTGAATAAAGTAAGAATTTGGTGCAAAAAAATTATATGTCTGTACTCTGTAGTTAACTTCCTCATGCGGTTTAATTCAAACCTGTCAGTAAGTGTAGAAAAGAGGGAGAGAGATAGAGCTTTTGTTTCATTTTTAGTAATTATCATGTTCATCAACATATAAGGAAATGTGTATCTGTATGAGGTCTTCAAATCTACCATCTGATTTTATCATAGTCCTCAATTTTTCCCTGAAATCTAATTCTTATTTTTGTTTTCTCTTAAGCAATATGGTACGTAACTTTATTAGGCCATTCCAATTTTTTTCTATGTTTAACGTCCGCGGACGGATTGGTTTTGAGGTTATGAAATTGAAAACAAACACAAAATCGAAAAATATAAATATTTGAAACGCAATTTGCTCTTTTGGGTTCGGGGTCTCTCTTTTATTAAGTGGTGTACCAAAAAAAAAAAATGTGTTTCAATAAACTGTTAGTTTTACGTAGTTGCAATACGAAGAGAATTCTCAAATGACAATGATGATAAATTGTAGAATTGCGCTTAAAATGCTGTGTGTGTTTTTTTTTTTACTATTGGTTTGTGTGGGGTTTTTTTTCGGATAGAAAGATAGTTTTAATTAAGGATGGACGCTAAACAAAGAAAAAAACTTGAAATGGCCTTATTTCAGGAGAAAAATAAATGTCAAAAACTGCAATTAAATGTATTTTTCTTAACCATATTTATAGTGATCGATTATGAAAAATACAGTACAAAATTTTAAAATCTTCACACTCCAGAGGAAAAGGAAAATAAGTATATAATGCAATCTGGCAAGTCTAGTCATATTTATAGAATCAAATCAATGTCTGGGCTTTGGCAGAATGTAAACTCTTTGTACCGAATATACAGTACATCAGTGCGAGAGTTGGCAATGATCTCTGTTTCCAGAAAGAAAATGAGTCTGGTCAAGGGGAATCTGCTTTTTGTGGACAATAGCAAATATTAATAGTTGCTTCATACAGTGTAAAAATCAGAAGAGGTATAATAAATTCGTATATAGAGAGCTTTTATTCCTCAGAATGGTGTCACAGATTATTCGAAACACAGATTATTCGAGATCGATTAAAAAAAATAGGATACTAGGGTTTAGAAACATGGTTATAGAGTGCTCTATAGTTCAAAATTACTACTTTATATTGTCAGATTTACAGGGGGGGGGGGGGATCCCCTTCAATCAAGTAAAACGTGAAGAATGGAATACATTAAAATATTTTAAAATGATTGAACATGTATTGAAATTCAGAAAGAGTATGGAAATGTTATCTGTTTTATAAAATCTACTATTGAACCAATTTAAAGTTTATTCAAAAGTTAGAGAAGATTTGAAATAATTCCAGCACTTGTTCCATTTAAGTATAGTATGTCAATGGTGCACACTAAATTTAGGAAGAAAAAATACAATATAGGTACATATTTTTGTAATGTCAACTTCCTTTGTTATTAAACACGTGTCACGTGATTATTCTTGATATATTTTTATAAACTCACTGAGTCATCAAATATCAATCTCGCGTCTTCAAAATGAAGGGCAACCGAACTAATATTAGTCTCAGTATTGTTATGTTCTGTGGATATTACATTCATGTATTTGGTAAGACTTTATGATCAGGATACTATATGTGTAGAGTTTCAGAGTATAAACTTTATTAAAATTAGTTCTTTAAAGGAGAAAAAATGAAATACTAGTATGATAATCAAATAAATTGACATGTAGACAAAATTTGTATCAACACCAATATTTTGTTAAAGGGCAAAGATTTAATACATCTATTATTTTAAATACATGTGTATATTTTTATTTAAAACAATCAAATATCACATACTAAACAAAAAAATAATTTCTTAATAATGATAGAATTACTGTCAAAACAAAATGGTAGAATAAAACTTTATTTAGCATTGGAATCAACGATAACAGTTTATATTTAAATTTAAATTAACACCAAACAGTGACTTGTAATAGTAAAATTGTATATCAATTAATTTATAACTTTTTTTAAAAGCGAACGCGGCTATAAGACTTGGCGTCACGTCTGATTATGACACTGCCTCTCAGAATTGCCCACTAGTTAACGATTTTGAGCTTAAGAGCTCGGATTTCGGCGCTATGGAGCCAGGACAGAGTTACTGGGTCAGTGGAAAATTGGTGGAGCTAGGCTGCCGAACACGAGGTATACATATATGTTTGATACCTACTGGTTATATGGGCCTCCGTATTGATCACATGTGATTCTAGTGTGAAATGGCTTTCTTTGGAATTTGGTCATCTATTGATAACAAATAAATCGTTTTCAGCGTCTGTCGTTAATAAAGATTATCATAATTAACATTATATTCTTAAGTTGTTTATATAGATCTTTAATTTTCAATACGAGATTCGGAATTTTAATTTGCTATCGTCAAAAATATACATTAATTTTAATTGTTTGTTTGTTTTTTAAGAAAAACGTTTTACACGCTTTTTGCTGTAACATTTACCCCCCCCCTTTTTTTTTTTACTTTTTCCACGAGAGTCTGAAACAAATTGTATGCATTATTACAGATAACTGCTCTCGACTGGTCGTAGGACAAACTAGGGGCTCTCCTAGTCAGAGTCTAGACTTTATCTGCCGTAAGTGACATCATTTACATAATTCAAGTATTTTAGAATAATACATTTATATGTAATATAATATGCTCTGAGTACCTTCTTCATTCATCCATACGTCAAATACACTAAATTTGCCACGGCATTAAGAAGATGGGTGAACAAGGCGGGCGAAGTGCCTATAGTGCGACAAATATGAAGTGAAAAATAAATTCTCAATTTTATCAAAATTTTATTTGATATTTCATCTAACATTAAAGTATATTTTATGTAAAATCTCTACAATTTACAAAAATTTCACAAAGACTGAAATTATTTGCATATGAAATAGCATACACACACTAAAGAGGACAAAAAGGACCATTTTCTCATACTTTAACAAAATTTTTCGATATGAGTGGGTCTTCGCTCCATTTTTTTGAAAGTTAATCCTAAAAGTTTGCATAAAAATATACATTTTTTTGGTTTACAAAAACATGGAGCAAAGACCCACTATACCTTAAAAGTACACTTTTATGACAAAGCATTCACATCTTTCCGAGAAATACTTAAGTCCATTAAGTCAAAGGTCATATCACGAACATGATTTAAATGCCACTGTTCATCAGGAGCTTTATAGCGTAGTGGTTAGCGTGTTAGTCTCAAAGCAATATGATACTCCGGATTTTTATTGCTAGGGTTCGAATCCCACGAATATTATTTCATTTTTTAATAAAAGATTTTTTTTTCCGAGATCTTTTTTTCTCAGAAAAGTTTTGTTGATCATAATTTCATAAATTTCAATAATGAGAACTTTACTTTAAATACTTAATTCACAAATTGAATATGATTTTTTTAATATCTGAAGCTATAGGCATTCTGCACGCCTTGTTCACCCATCTTCTTTCTTGGCTCCTGTATGCGACACGTGGTGCTTTTAATTGTCATCAAATCATTTTGCCAAATTAATATAATAAATCAAGATACAATATACATGTAATACAACTCCTTATTGTTCCAGGAAACCTGGTGTCGCGTGAGCACCTGACGAGAATGGCCGTGCGGTGTGCTAACGGTTATGAAGTGGCTAGTATAATGTCTTATGAGGACATTAGGAACCTTCACAACAGGACCGTGTTCCCCACCAACCGGGCTATGATCATCAGAAACTTCAACAAGCCAGGTATGGGAATTTATTGTTTAGTGTTTCCAGAGTATTGCCTCTGTATGCAGGCGCGGATCCAGGAATTTTTTTTCCAGGGGGGGGGGGGTCCACCCCAGTCAAAAAAAATTTCTAACCCAAAAATTTCTGGACAAGCAAAAGAAAAAAAAACCCACTAAATTCCCTTCCCAAACGTATTAAACCCAGAAAATTACTTGACAAGCAAGGGAAAAAAAACAAAACAACCTAAATTCCATTTCCAAATCGTGAAAAACACCTATTTCGTGGTGATGATGGGGTCCACGATTTCGGGGGGGGGGGGGGACCCCTCTAGATCCGCGCATGGTATGGTCTTTAAAAACGTCGTCAGACCAGGAGAAGGAATTTATTATTTAAGTGTTTCTATAAGTATTATCTTAGTAGCTTATAATGCCAGTACTTTATTCTGTGATGATCATTTCTCAGAGAGGGATAAACCATTCGTTTAAAACGCAACAACTCTTAGAGGATTTTTCTCTAAATACAAAATATTTTTAAGTCACTTTGGTTTGAATGAATTGATAAAAATGAATTTTAAATGAAACCATTCTCTCTGAGTTTTATTTGGGGGGGGGGGGCAAAACGGACAATGCAATAATCTTAAGAAATATAATATACAAGAATCTGCTGGTCACAGTCACTGGGCATTAAGACATTGAAACACAGTTGTAATTTTGAGAACGTTGACGAGTTGCCAGTGTCCTTAACGTTCAGTATACACTGTGCTATTAGAGATGTTTACAAATCTTGTTGCAAACACATTGGAACCCATGAATATTTTGCATGTCTTTAACTAAGATATTATGGTAGATGCATCATGATTAAACGTCATATTTTTTCACCAGGGTCATGGCGTGGTGGTCAAGATATGAATGAGAAATGAGATCATATTTTGTTTTTAAAGAATTAATGTAAAATTGTTCATGGTATTCAACACTCCGTAGTTAATTTTTTTTTCATGGGGAAGTCCCGAGTAAACTTGAAAGAAAGAAAAAAGAATAAAAAGGGGGAACTTAGTGATGTTCGTCCGGTGTACATTTTCAGCACGTCTATTTTTAGCCTTTTCCTGTTTCTCAAAAAAATAGGTAAAATAGCACAATAAAAAGAAAAATGCACAAAGTGCTAAAAATTTTGCGCAAAACAATAAAAAGGAAATTCGTGGAAATTAGGTTCGCACAATAAATTCCATGCCTGTTGTTACAGAAAGTCAGTTACAGAATTTAAATCGTAATTAATCCTCTCAATGTCTTCCATTGGCATGGCCATAGGAACCTGGGGGTGGGAGGTTGTGCCCCCCCCCCCCCCCCGATAATTTTGCCGATATATAGTTTATTATAGTAAACATAGCCACTGTGTTTGTGCCCCTTCAATAATTAAATCTTACGACCTTGGGGTGCCCCCCCCCCCAACTGAAAATGTTTGGTTGTACCCCCCGTAACGTAAAAACTGTATAAAAGTCAACCAGAGCTTCCTACGAAGGGGATACATGATTGCAATATTATGCTATTATTAAAGACCGAGAAATATTAGACCTTAGCTTCTTTTTCGATAATTTTCCGTAGTAAGGTACATTTGAGTGTACGCCTTTAAACGTGAAAAGCTGACTAGAGTGTATTAATATTTTTCTATCCATTATTAGGATACCTCGAGACTTGTAAGGTTGTGAAACTGGAAGGCGATAGAATGACATTTAGCTATCAACCCTGCAGCGTGTCTCTCCCTCCACTGTGTTTAACAGGTATGTTAGTATTCATTTTTGATTAATTAATAAGAAGTAAGCGTTGTCCAGTATTCCAAATGTAACTTCATCCATTCCTAGGTAAACGCAACTCGCTGACGACTCTGATCATTGAAGACTATAGCAGTGTAAACTCAAAAGTTCCGAATCAGAGAAAAAACAGGTTTCGGCCATTGACTACCCTGTCCCCAACAGTTAGTAATGTAACTCTTCAAGATAACATCACACGGACGGATGTCGTAGCACTCGAAAATAACGGTGAGATATGCCTGTCAGAAACTTTCATGTTTTTTCTTCCGCGTTACTTTCCTACGAAGTAAGGGTTAATGTACGAATAGTGTTCCATTCCTTAAAAGAAATAGAGCCGAGGCCCCGAAGGAGCCAAGGCCCATTGCTTTTAAGGAATGGAGCACTACGAGTATATTAACCCGCGTAAAATCCACCTTTTTAAATGCTTGCAATTATTGTTTGTTAATATGTAATAAAGAATATTTATAAGATACACTGTAAATATACATTTAACATATTAGTAGTATTTATTTCTATATCGAGAAAAAGTAAGGCGAAAAAAGTGTACTGAAGTTATTTAAATCCTTTGTCATTCAACAGCTTCGATAGCGTAGTGAGATGAGTACCTGACGCCGAAGGTGAAGGTATCGGGTTCGATTCTTAACACTGCCAGTTTTGTAATGAATTATTTTTATGCACAAAATGAATTATAAAGCAATTAATGACGCATAATTAAATACGATAGAAAACCCCTGTTTAAATGTCAGATTATTTTGTGTGTGAAATGTGTTTCCGTATAAATTGAATTATGTACAAAATGTTCATGTTTGTCGTATTGATGTGAAAATATTATAAATTCCAGACTTCTGATATTTAATAGTTCTGTTGTGTTGGGTATGAACATGAAGAAGATGCAAATACATTTAACATTAATATAAAATATAAAAGCAGAACGAACGTTTGTTTGGGTGCAGATCATGAAATGTACTAAGCTCCACGGGTATTTGTTGTCATATGCGCATTAATTCAGACTTCCAAATTGTTATTTGGCTAGTGATACCTTTAAATAACATTTGTCTCTAGGTGAAAGTTGACTCGGCAAAATGCGCCATCCCATTGTTTAAGTTTTATAAGGTGATTACACCGCCTATACCCGATTTCGCGGATACAACGATACCCCGATTTCGGGGACTATACGCGATTTCACGGATAATACCCGATTTCGAGTATTCTCTCCAACCTGCTTAAATTTGTTTGTACGAATAACTCCTGTAAAACTAAACATATATTACAGTGTATTGATAAAGTACAATTTTTTAGCTGTAAACCCCGTTGAAATTTGTAATAAAATGATCATTTCTGATGTTTTTTGTCTGTAAACATATGCCCCCCCCCCCCCCCCCGTAAAACAACAAAACTTTTGGTATGAATTTGTTAAATAACGATTCTTAATACATGTAAAAAGGAATTTTTGTTTCACCGGGGGGGGGGGGGGGGGGGGGGGAGAGAGATGTTTAAAAATATTTTCTGTTTTCCATTAAAACAAAAGTTTTACCAAAATTATAGAGTTATCTCTCTTTGTTTTCCCAAATTTGATATGTTTTGTGAAAATTCATATAAATATCTATATAAATATGAACAATTATTCAAATCTGTTAATGTTTGAAAATTGACTTTGAGGTAGGCGGGAGAACAATACTATCGTTCGCAGTTCTTTTCTAAGTTCTTTCCTAGGTAGAGGTACAGGAAGGAACATAACAGATTCTGTTTTCAATGTAATTTTCAACTCTCCATTCCTGAAAAATAATGGAGCGCTCAAATAAAAGAGTGAAGCCACAGGTGGATTTTACGTTATATAGGCACAGGCATCTGAAGCTGCTTGGACCCCCCCCCCCCCCAACTACATGAACTAAGTAATTAAATATGAGGAGTCTTTATTTTCTCGAAATAATATGATTTCTCCGTCAATTCTATCTGTATGTCATTCTTTGCAATTGGTTTTGTTAAGATTTAAAAATTGGCCATATAGGGTATATTAATAAAAATACAGTATGTGGCCAATTTTTAAACCTTACAAAAGTACAAACCAATAGCACTGAATGACATACAGATGAATTGACAAAGAAATCACATATTTTTGAGAAAATAAAGACTCCTCATATTTTATTAGTTAGTTGGGAGGGGGGGGGATCCATGCTTCAGGTGCCTGTGAGATACCACGGCATATTTCGAAATTTAATTTATTTTTTTATTTTTTTTTTTTTTTGAAAAATATTGCTCGCACAATTAATTATGTTGTGTGCACGAGTTATTCTGTCGTTCACTTCACATATTATACAATTATTACCTCTACAAACATGGTAATAATCTTTACTAAATGATATTGTATATCTTGTTAACAACAAAAATCTATATCTTGTGCCAATAATTTTTGTTGAGTTTTAGAGATTGCCCTTCTGTAGTATTTTTTAGTTAATGTAGAGGGACAATCTCTGTAACTTAATAAAAAACCCAGAAAATAATATCGGAATATAAGTATGATTAACTAAAATTTCGGATATTTTTGATAAGATAGCGTGTCTACTAAAAATGCCCGGAAGGGAGGGTGAGGGGGGCACCATCAATACGTCAGGTGCTTGTGATATTTTCCAGAAGAAATGCTTGCATGCCCCAAGTATTTTAAAATAATGAACATTATCTGTTCATCTCTTTTCAGATATTCGTCTTTTTGGTCTTGGTCCTATTCATCTTTTATCCATTGGAACAGCTGTAATATTCACTTTTATCGTGTTACTGGTTATAATAATTGCATTAATCAAAAGGTATCTAGAATTCTTCCATATATATATATATATATATATATATATATATATATATAAATATAAATATACATGTATATATACACATAAATTTTCATATTTTCAACATTCAGTACTATTTAGCATTTTTTTTTCCAATTCAGTTGATATCAATTTCATTTTATACCGGTATATTAGGTTACAAGGTTAGAATTATTTTATTTCATAAATAGAAATCGAAGAGAAAGAGAAACCTCTGACCCTCCCAGCGTTAAGGACATCCAGAACGAATATGCATCCTGGTTCTCAAGTAAGGAACAGCTCACCGAAGAGTCAAAGGGCAATGGGGAAGGGGAGGACGAATGTCACTACATGACGATCCCTGCCGACAGGGAATACCAATCATTAGACCTTTTGGAGCAAAGTCCCGAACAAAGTCACGCGTACACGTCTATAGCGACATCCAACAGGACAAGAGTGTTCAAAAAGAAACTCTCCGTGTCTCTTCAGAGATGAATGTTAACTGTGTGCATTAAAAGAAGCCTCTTGGGTCTTTTATTTGCAAATTTAATGGAGTGCGTTTTTGAATCTCCACTTAAAGAGATTGACAGAATGGAGATCAACGAAGTTTCACTTTCCTGTGTCCGTACTGAAGGTTTATGGCTGTCCAAGTGAGACACTTTCATACATATTTGAACTCCTGCCTTAATGGGTAGATGTTTTCAAAGTAGTTTGCTCATTTCTAGTTCTCTCTGGGTTTAATCAGTTAAATCAGAATAACCACGGAGGATGTTTTTCCTCTTTAAAAGATACATGTGTTTAAATGAGTAATATGTACATGAATAGAAACGAGAAAAACTTTGTATATTGACAGTTACAAAGCATTGTGTCTGTTTAAAGTAGACATCACCATCAAATCAATTTCAACACATGAAATGATATAAATGTACCCATGCCCATTTTGTGGACAAGCCTGGTTAATATGATCATCTTTTGCTGAATTACTTATTGTTTGTTAAAAAAGATATAAATTGCTATTTTGAACATTTATTCTGTGAGTTGTACACTAAATGTTATGTTGCATTGTCTACATGTTATAGTCAAGAAAATTTATTACAAGAGAGTATCTATTGAAAGGATTCACATTAAAACCAGTTTAAAAACCTGGAAAAGCAGTAATACATCTAAGCTCAGGGATTTCACCCTCTTTTAACCTTTTGTTTTCTTTATTTGTAGTCACTTAATAAAAAAAAAATCAGCAATTAAGAAATATTTTCATCATTGAATACAGCTTTTACTTTTCTTTCCAGCATGCCTGATATATTAATCTCTACAACAGTAAAGCTAGATCTACCACTTAAAGTTTAGAATTCTATGTTATGAACAAACACTGATTCATATTACATATCAGAAAAAGAAATAAACAAGCTTCTTTCTCAACAGGAAAATGAGGTGGGTTTGTTGTTTACATCTCTTCAGTATGACTACATACATGTACTGCTACAAATAACCAAGAAGTAATTGTATTGACAACAGGAAGAAACAGAAATCTGGGGGCTGGTGAATGGGAGAAAACACAGATGTACACTATATAGAGGAGTATTGTAACAAAGTCTGACAATTCACTTCTAGATCAAGTTCATTCACAATACACTGTGAAGAAAAACACCCTCACAAAAGACTCTCCAGTTAAAAAACAAAATCTGCCCTCAAGAATTCTTGAAAAGGCTATAATGATTAATGTAAAAATTAACAATAACAAAAATGTCACAGTGCTGAACTCTTGAGAGTTTCAAAATGTCTCTGATAAGTCCGTAGCTCTACTGGTTTGAACTTGTGAAATCAAGAACTGATATATAGTATATACCTTGATGTATTTTATTTGTGTGCACAGTTTTATCAAAATCAGACCAAAGCTGTAGGAAAATAAAAGTAGGAAAAAAATATTGTGTAGGCAGACTGACACCTTACCAATGCAAAGTTCTTCTTGTCCATGACCAGTAGAGCTAAAATGCCCCTTGTAAACAGTGCTCATGATAATTAATGATGCAATAAATTAGCCATAAAGTTCTAGTGGAAGACAATGTTCCCCATGTGAACTCTGACTTACAGTCATTGTGAACAGGAGGTCCATGGACCACATTGCTCACCTGAGCTACAATGTCCAACTTTGATCCAAGTAACAAACTGGCTTTACTATATCAAAAATATCAAAGGAAGGGGGAGTGCTGTTGTCATTGTTAAAAAAAACTTGAAACTTCTAAACATAAGCTTGCTTCCACAGTAATTTCAAAGGTTCTATATCTGTTTATTTGTTAGAAGTTCTCAAAGTTTTTTCTATGTCTTTCTATAATGAACTTTGAACCCCTCGTTGGGACCCTTTCCTGATTGGAGGTCATAATTTGAACAAACCTGAATCTATCACATATAAGGAAGCTTATCTAAAAGTATTTATGTTCCTGACTATTTGATTCTTGAGAAAATTTTTAAAACAGCCAACCCTTTTTTTCATTATTTCCTTATTATCTCCCCTTTAAAAGGGATCAGACCATTCATTTGAATGAATTTGTAAGCCCTTCATTCAAGCATGCTTTGTGTTTGTTTGAAATTGGCCCAGTGATTCTGGAGAGAAAGTCGAAAAATGTAAAAAGGTTTACAGACACGGACAGACAGACGGACACCGGAAAAAAAATGCAGAGAAGCTCACAAGCTTTCAGTTCAGGTGAGCTAAAAACAGAAATCCTACTTCATTTTCATCAACAATTTTTTTAAAATATTATATTCCTATACAAGTGTTTCCCCCTCTTTGGTAAACCTTGTTTAATATAATACTACTTCTTGATTTTACTTTCTACTGGATTTCACTCTGTTGTTGATGTTAAAGTTATCTTTACCTAAATGTTTCATCTATAGGAAGCAATTGGATTTGCTATTATAGTTGTAAGTATATGAATAAAATTGTAACACATGCTAATTTCAGATGTCTAAATATCTATAGATTATATATCAGAATATAACTAACATGAAAAATAAAATAAAGCACTGGGCACATTTTATGGATTTCAAAAATGCAAAGGAATATAACTTTCCCATAATACCCTTTTGACCATTCAATCAATATTCAGAAATGCACACAGAAAAAATAAATGCTGAGGTTAACAAATGTTACATGTACTACAGCTGCCTAAAAATAGATTATTGATGAAATTTACATATGTATTGAACAAAATATATTCTATATCCATTAAGCTTGATAACTAATTTATTACTAATTTGCATTTGCTACACTTAAAATTCATAGAACATTTGGCACCATCTTTTCTTTTCTAAAATATCTGAAACCTCAGTTGTATTCAACATAATGTCCAGAGAGAATTCATATAAGAATTCAAAGGGGAACAAATACATTTCTTGAAGTGTATCACTTATTAAATGTAAAAAAAATTGGTCCAAATCATTAAACAGTGACTAGAGTTTCTGTCAAAATAAATGTGGAGACTGCTGTTAATAAGGAAAAAAAGGTATTCTGTATATTCCTTGTTTGGAACTGTACATATTTTCAAATACAAAATGTAATGGCAATGTCTTAATTTCATTTATGTCATTCAGATAGTTTACTTACATGTACCTCAATGCTGCATTACATATACGTACATACATATGTACATGTACAAATAAACCCCAAATTTTGGATTTTAAAATTAAAGCACTGTGTTCTAGTCTGGTACTTATGCCATTAACTTTAATCCCCCTCCCCCCGCCCCACCAAAAAAAAACAAACAAGAACAAAATCCTCCTCCCCCCCCCCTCCCCCCCCCCCAAAAAAAAAAAATCACAAATTCCTATAAAACTTTTGCTGCTGAATGCTCCCATCCCCTGATTATACATAAACACAAAAGCTGGAATGTTCAAATTTCATTCCCTCGAGTTAAAATCTTATAAGCCTAAAAAAATATTTTAAAAAAGGCATCATATTTATACACAGCATGACAGCATTCATCTGAGATTCTCTACAATAGTTTGTTAACCAATATTAAAATACACTGTAAGCAACAAAAAACAAGCCATAAGTGAACACACTTGACATTGGTATGATATTCATTATCCTAAACATTTTATATACTACCACTGGAGCATTCATGACCAAATAATTTGTTGAGATATCAGTTCTGCAATACAAGCAACAGACCACACTATACAACTCAAAAATGAGTTATGATACAAAAAAATTATACAAACAAAAGAGTAAAAAAATATATAATGGTACATGTACAACAAAACACACTGCCTAATTTCATTTTTGTATTGAATTGACTGAGACAATTGGTTCATGTACCCTCTGTATCAGGATATGTAGCCAGCTGTATAAAACCTATCGAACACATTACAACAACTCACAACAAGCCGATCAACTAATACACAAATCTGCACCGGCTAGTCAGACTCTAATGTAAGAACACACAGAGATGCTAGTTAGATTCTAATGTAGGAACACACATATGACTGGACATACAGAGATAAATATGTGAGTCTTGGAGAGGGACACACTAGATATATATGTCTTAAAAAACCAGAGGCTTGGCTTATTCTTCTTTGAGTGACAGATTATACATGGAGTATTCATTAAGACCAGTCACTTCACGTTCAATGTCCAGGAATTCAGGTAGAGCCAGATCATCTCCTTTCAGAGCTGTGTATGTTTCCAGAATCATGAGACCTTTACATCTGTAAATTCAAACACAGAACGTCAAGCTTTTAGAAAACCAGAAGTCTCTGACAAGACTTTAGTTCTACTGGTTTATACTTATAAAGTAGCACTTGGACATGAAACTTTGCAACAGCAATATATAGAATAATGATCCTTGGTTTAATCTCTTTGTGTGGCAAGATTTATTCCAATCAGACAAAAACTATAGGAGAAGTAGATTTTTGAATGCATTTTACAAATATTTCTATTTTTAGTAATCATGGCAACACCATTAATCGTAATCAAAAAACTGATATACAGAATTATGAATCTTAGTTAAGTCTACTTGTGTGCCAAGTTATATTGAAATCAAACCAAGGAGGAGTAGCATTTTGAAAGTATTTCACAGAAATTTCTATTTTTAAAGACCATGGCAACACCATTCATGGAAAGACAAAAACTGATATACAGAATTATGTATCTTAGTGTAATCTACTTTTGTGCCAACTTATATTAAACTAAAACCAAGGAGGAGTAGCATTTTGAAAGTATTTCACAGAAATTTCTATTTTTAGTGACCATGGCAACACCATTCAAGAAAAAACAAAAACTGATATACAAAATTATGTATCTTAGTGTAATCTACTTGTGTGCCAAGTTATATTGAAATCAGACCAAAACTGTAGGAGGAGTAGCATTTTGAAAGTATTTCGTAGAAATTTCTATTTAAGTAACCATGGCAACACCGTTCATTGAAATCAAAAACTGATACGCAGAATTGTGTCAACGGACACTTTACTATCGCATAAGCTCTTCTGGACACTGACCAGTAGAGCCAAAAAGAAGATTGTGTTAAAACAAAAATCTAATTATTTTTCCAAATTTCCTATAATAGCAGTCAAAATTTTGCCAATTTATTATGTATGAATTTCTTCTCATGGACTTCACTATTCATATACATATTTACACATCAATGAGTAAATATTATGAATCCGCTCTGCTCTTAACAGATAAACACATATACACTGATGACCAACCTGTCAGGACTTGGCTCTTTGTATATGTCTAGATGGAAATACTGGTTGTTCCAAAGGAAGCATCTCCTTTTCTTGTAAATAGGCCATCTCTTGGTGTCTCTTTGTTCATACAGAATCTGGAATAAAGGGTTTATAAATCAAACATGTATTCATTTGACAAGCAGTTTTAGTCAGACTTTTCAAAACAATACTAACTTTATGAACTAAATCATGTATGAAAGTTCATGTATGATCATCAGATATAAGTACATGTAGTGTGCAAGTGGATATTTTTATGCATGGATAAAATTTACAATAGCTATGCTGTAAGCTTCAAGCTGTGTAAAATTTCCCCACATGTATAGTCACAAAAAAATTGGATGTAATGAATACATATTTTACACCTAATGTAAGTAATGTTCATCTGTCAAACAAACATACTTAACCCCCAGGGCAAATAACCACTTTACAGTACATGTATTATGAACTGTGCCATGCAACTTTGCAAGACTGATCGACTTTTTTTCTACATAGATAATTTATACATCTACTAAAACTTTTGATAACAACAGTGCTTTGGAAAATTTACACTGCTAAGCTACAATAAAGAAAACAACAGAGTTAGATCTTGAATTTAATCTTGGATCTTTAAGTATTTTATTAATACATACATTGAAGTCTTTTTCTGAGATCGACATGCGGATTTCTGCCATGGCATCTTGAACTTGTCTTCTCATGGTGTGAGTGTATGTCCAATAACCTAAAATACAATCATAGCATCTTCATAAGACTGTACACGTACAAACTCACATTAAGTTACTTTAAGCTGAGTTTACAAGACATTCACCATTTTGGCCCCGTCTGCGTATCCTGGCTTGAGTTTTTCTGCTGGGACTAGACAAATAGTAATGCTGTACATCAAAGTCTTGGAAGCCAGGAAATTTCTGCAACAAAAATCACAAGATAATTACGAAGAAAATTAATAAAATCTGAGCATATGTTTTATAGGAAATGCTGGTCACTTGCCAGTACAAGAGTGATAAATTCCTATATGATAAAGTTATGAAGTTTCAATTAACTTGTAATTATCCATTAAATCTATTTTAAATATTGTTCTGCTATGTTACTTACCGAGTCCTCTGCCAGAGATCTGACCAAGAATTTTCTCTTTTTGCTTTCTGAACTTAACCTGTCTTTGACTTCAATACCTAGCCTACTGCACACCGTCTGAAATAAACAGCAATGCTGTAGAACTCGGAATGTGCAATACAGCACAGAATGAATCTTACTGACTTTATAACGATAAAACTACAAAATAATCTAAATCTATCTATGTCAGCATTGATTCATTGCTAAATACGAGGTCCACTGAACTCAAAGCTCACTTCTGTCATAAAAAAATTTGTGAACTTTATCTCATACCCATGAAATATCTGCTGACGGCCATGAAACTGTTCTGAATAAAATATCTATAATGCTTCAAACCAATTAGAGGCCACCATAGCCATGCTAGAATTCCATGTAACTGATACACTGTAACAACAATGCTTCTAAACCACTGTAAAATATATAGGTGCAGTCACATGATGCAATTTTTTTTTTGATATTCCATATGATTTTTCCAATCGATTTGCTTCTGACTAAAATTTACCATGTGATCACTTAAGTCAAAAGCAAAATCTGACAAGTTTTCACAGTAGGTGAAAAAGAATGAACTTTATTTGAATTATATCATCCAAATCAGTTTGAAATTAAAGATAAAGAGTGAACCAAAATAAAAACCTAGTATTAAAAACAAACAGACTATATATATCCATATGATACATAAGTGGATTGAGTAATATAAGAAAGGAGGAACCAAATATTGGAGACAAAGGTTTTAAAGAGGATTTAAACACTTTAAAATGCAAATTCATGTGTTAGATGTAAAAAAATAAATAAATAAAAAGAATTCCATTTTTCCCATTGTATCAATGGATTACGCAAAATATGAGAGAACAAATTGTTGGGCTCATTTTTTTTATACAAGCTATTTCATCATTTATGAAGAAGTCGCAGCAGTGCAATGTGTAAATTACAATCATGTCGACTTCAAACATTATAATGGGGTTAAAGTACATAATGTAAAATAAAAGAATTGAAAAAGCAAATTACCTACAAATTAATAAAATTTAGTTAACAACAAATGAAATTACGTTAATTTGTCGTAAACAATATAATAAGTATAGGAATACATTACACATTACATTGAATGTAATAACGAATTGTGTGACCACCACACCAATCAACTAGATTCAACTAGCCTGAGCAAGTCAAATGAAAATTGAATGAATAATCGCATCGTGTGACCGCACCTTATGCCAATTTGGTGAATTGAAATTAGAATTACATGTAATATATATAGGAAATACATGTTGTGTCTTCTACTGAAACTAGGCAAAAATGACCTTTTTAAATATGCTGATTTAAGATCTGCTTGCTTTGCATTTTGTATATATGCCATATATAGTTAAGAAAATAAAACACATTATTACAATGGATTATTCATGTACCTTAATTGCTTAAGTTTTGCAGAATGACTTAAAAAAACCACAAACATATTTATAAATGTGAAAAATATTTGAATCCTCAATATTGTATGTGTGGTAAATTCAACTGAAGTGCAAAAATTCACAGTGGAAAAAAAAAATTCCTTCAAAAGAAATATTTAATAATATTTTTGCACTTCTTATTTGTGCAATTCACTTAAGAATCAGACTGCATAATTTATAAATGTAGATCTTTTTTTAATTTTAGAAATGTAAATTGTATACTCAATTTCAACAAAGACTACACTAATTTATTTCTGCTTAGGCTTTACACATATCAATGACAGTGGCCCAAATTTCTTTTAGCAAAAAACATAAATAAAGTCTATACATGTATAAAAGTATATCAAAAGTTACAGTAATTGTGAATCAATCAGTATAACAAACCGGTAGAACACTTACTGCAATCATTCTGTTGATCTTCTCTTCAAACCCTGTGCTATTGTCAATGACATCATAATAAGGATGACCAACCCAGGCCTACAAATCACACACAATATCAAATTATTACTGACCAACCCAGGCCTACAAATCATAATATCAAATCATTACTGACCAACCCAGGCCTACAAATCATAATATCAAATTATCACTGACCAACCCAGGCCTACAAATCATTATATCAAATTATCACTGACCAACCCAGGCCTACAAATCACAATACATGTATCAAATTATTACTGACCAACCCAGGCCTACAAATCATAATATCAAATTATCACTGAACAACCCAGGCCTACAAATCATAATATCAAATTATCACTGAACAACCCAGGCCTACAAATCATAATATCAAATTATCACTGACCAACCCAGGCCTACAAATCATTATATCAAATTATCACTGACCAACCCAGGCCTACAAATCACAATACATGTATCAAATTATCACTGACCAACCCAGGCCTACAAATCATAATATCAAATTATCACTGACCAACCCAGGCCTACAAATCACAATACATGTATCAAATTATTACTGACCAACCCAGGCCTACAAATCATAATATCAAATTATCACTGAACAACCCAGGCCTACAAATCATAATATCAAATTATCACTGACCAACCCAGGCCTACAAATCATTATATCAAATTATCACTGACCAACCCAGGCCTACAAATCACAATACATGTATCAAATTATCACTGACCAACCCAGGCCTACAAATCATTATATCAAATTATCACTATTGTTTGCAATGTAACAAAATAAATCAATGACTCTGAAAAAAAATTAATAACATAAACATAATAACTATATTGAGTATTTACTGCTGCAGTCATTTCATCCAGTTTACAAGCCACATCCAGGCCTTCGTGACGAGTATTGTGTCCATCCACTGTGTAGAAAGCCTCCGCACCATTGGCTGCCGACACCATGTGTATGATCTGGTTGTACCGGTTGTCACGGAGCTGCACAGAATTCCAACCATTCTTTTCCTTCATCTTCTCCCAGTCATCAGCATTTAAATCTAATTATAAATAGTTAATCAAAGTAACCAAAATAAGTAATTACATGTTTATTGTAATGCATGTCATTTCAAGTATGAAACTGGACGGACAATTGGTACTCTTTAAATTATGTTCAACATTGTTACACCTATCACTGCTTTGAACTTAAATTTATGACCCTAAACAATAGCTTTATTCTCAGTAGCAAGTGTGAGGCTGTATAGCTGTCTATACATTATATACACATTAGAATGGAAAAAAATTGAAACAAATTTAAATTAAACCTGTCTGCAATCTCTTCTACAACTACTATTCAAGATATCACATTTACTCACAAGCTGAGGCATCCATGAGGCCCCTGTCACAGATAAAAAGGCAATTCTGTTCACAAGTGTTGCCAAGTTCAAAAAATGTGTCCTCAATCTGTGTCATTGTTTTAATTATGTTCTCCTGTAGCTGGTATGCTGTAAATTTGGATAAAAGAAGTCAAACAAAAGGTTCATGGGCCACAAGGCTCACCTGACATCAAATGAATCCTCTTAATTCCCTTAGTAATTTAAAACTCATTATTTCAACCACTTTCATTCACTATACATTAATAGTACTTAAAGAGGCTCTGCTGTTCTTTAAAAAACTAGATGTGTCGTTAATGCCACAAATGCCCCCACAAGCAGCCAAATTTTCAAATGCAATATTTAGTTTTAAATTTGTATTCAAACTTGACCCATATTTTCTGATAAAATGCCTGCATATGCAATTTCAACCTTTTAAATACATCCCTACAAAAGTTAGAGAGCAGAAACTGAAAAATTTCTTATTTTTTCTAAGTTCAAGAGGGGTAACTCTGTCAAAAATCATTGGACCATGACCAAATTCAAATTTGACTTCTATTTTCTGGTAAAATACCTGCACATGTAATTTCAAACTTATACATACATCCCTACAAAAGTTAGAAAGCTGAAACTAAAAATTTTATATTTTTTCTAAGTTCAAGATGGATAACTCTGTCAAAAATCATCGGACCATGACCAAATTCGAACTTGACCTGTATTTTCTGATAAAATACCTGCATATGCAATTTCAACCATATACATACATCCCTCAAAAATAAGAGAGTGGAAACTGAAAATTTCCCTCTAGAGGGAGAACTCTGTAAAACATAGGTAATCAAAGATTACGAAGCTCACCTCGACAAATGTTATCTTTAAGTAAGGCAAATTTCACATATTTTTTTTATTTAGTGTACATCCCAAGATCAATGTCCATGCAAGTTTGGTTTAAGTACGACTTATAGTTACTTGGAAATAGACCTGTTCAAAAAACATTTATCCTGTTTACTAATCAAGAAAATTTTGGTCAGTTCCAACATCCAAAGTAAGTCTGGAAGTTTTTGTCCTTAGATGCACCATCTATGCAAATTTAATCATAACAGGCCATAATGTTATATAGCTACTCCAAAAAAATTATCCTGGTCACTCATCTGGAAAATGTAGGTCAGATTCAGTATCCAAAGCAAGTCTGGAAGTGACCATCCCTAGCTACATCATCCATGCTAATTTGGTTAAAATATGGCTAAAATTCTCTCATGTGGAAAATCTAGGTCGAATCCAGCATCCGAAGCAAGTGTGGTAGTGTCCATCCCTAGATGCATCATCCATGCAAGTTTGTTCAAGGTAGAACTTATAGTTACTTGGGAATGGACCTGCTCCAAAAACTTTAACCTGGTCACTCATCTGGAAAATCTAGGTCAGATCCAGCATCCGAAGCAAGTGTGGTAGTGCCCATCCCTAGATCCATTATCCATGCAAGTTTGGTCCAGGTAGGGCTTATAGTTACTTGGGACCTGCTCCAAAAACTTTAACCTAGTCACTCAACTGGAAAATCTAGGTCGGATCCAGCATCCGAAGCAAGTGTGGTAGTGTCCATCCCTAGATGCATCATCCATGCAAGTTTGGTCCAGGTAGGGCTAATAGTTACTTGGAAATGAACCTGCTCCAAAAACTTTAACCTGGTCACTCATCTGGAAAATCTAGGTCAGATCCAGCATCCGAAGCAAGTGTGGTAGTGCCCATCCCTAGATCCATCATCCATGCAAGTTTGGTCCAGGTAGGGCTAATAGTTACTTGAGAATGGACCTGCTCCAAAAACTTTAACCTGGTCACTCATCTGGAAAATCTAGGTCAGATCCAGCATCCGAAGCAAGTGTGGTAGTGTCCATCCCTAGATTTATCATCCATGCAAGTTTGGTCCAGGTAGGGCTTATAGTTACTTGGGAATGGACTTGCTCCTAAAACTTTAACCGGGACGCCGACGCCGACGCCAGGGGTATAGCATAAGCTCATCTCGACTTCGTCGAGGTGAGCTAAAAATCATCGGGCCATGACCAAATTTGAAATTGACCTGCGTATTCCTATGATGTATCCATATGTCAAATTTTGAGATGAATGTATGCAACTGTTACAGATATAATGAATGGAAAGTCAATGATGACGGAATGACAGAATGACGGAACAGGGTAACACTATATGCCATTTCACAGTGGGGGCATAAAGAAAGATTCTTAAAGATTTTTCCTATATATTCCTATGTAAAAGTCTGACCCTCAATAGAGGCCCTATCCTAGCCTAAAAGGTCATGATCTGAATAAGACTGATTCTACTGTTCATGGATATGCTAGCATGTTGTAGCCCTAGAATATTTTTAGTATTTGCTATATGAATTTCTATTTAAATTTTGATCTATTATGTCCCTACCATAGCTCCATTGGTCATGACATAAAAAAAAACTTGGGTTTTCAATGCATTGGGATGCTTGCATATCAATATTAGTAACTATTGTGGCCCTGATATTCTTGAGATTATTTTCAAAATGTTTTTCCCCATCAAATACTGCATATTTAAAACCCTAGCCCTCTATGTGAACTATGTAGCCTCAGTAGACAACATTTCTATGATAAATGAAGATGATGATTAGATACTTGTATATTAATTTGATAGCTGTGCATGCATTACTGTTCTTCAGATTTTTTCATACAGATTCCTATAATAAACTTTGACCACTTTCTTTGGCCTCTTCAAAGCAATTGTAAAAATTTTATGCATACTTCAGTCTACACTAATGAAGAATGCTTTCACATAAGGTTTGCCTTTTCTGGCCAAATTGTGTCCAAGAGGTTTTTTTTTTGTAAATGACACCCCCACCTTTCATATTACTTAATTTTCTCCTCTTAAAATGGGAGCCCTTTCATTCGAATAATCTTGAACTCTCTTCATGTAAGGAAACTTTGTACCAAGTTTCCTTGAAAATGGCCATGTTGTGTCTTAAAAAGAAGTGCAGAAAATTTTTAAAAAATATAACAACATAAACTTTGATCAGAAAAACTCTGACACTTGAGCTTTCAGCTCAGGTGAGCTTAAAACTTAATTCATATGCAATTTACCACACAACTGCATTTTATTTAAATGTTCCCTAAATCATTATTAACATACTTCAAAAATCTTAATATGACAAGATTAACTCTTAAATAATAATGCAGACATTTGTGCTCATATTTTGATAAAATGACTGGGGAACAAAATCTCTGGTCAAATCTCAACAAAATTTGGAAATATTAAAGTGTAATCACATTAATGTCTAATATATGGAAATGTTTAAACTTTGACAGTTGTGTACTGTATAGGAATTAGTACATCAATTATCTTGGAGACATTTTTTGTAAAATCCAGTTTTCTTACCTTCTTCTTTGGTGAGACTTGTAAATTTCACACCACCACTGGGGAAAAAAGAAAGAATTATAACTGAATCAAAATTAATTTAATTAGTATCATCTTGTCAAACTCCTGTATAAACACAGTAACTGTGCTAGAGATTCTACATGATTCTATAAGTAAATCTGCATTTTCTGAAGCCTGCCATGAGAGATATTTTTTTTAAAATGATGCAAAGGTTGAAAATAATCGAAGACCATGGGATTACTCCAACAGCACCTGTGATGAGTGGGTATTGTGGGGGAGGAGGTTTCAGCTGTAGATATGTATACTTGATATGATGGTTTTAAAAGCTATTACTGAAATAAAAAAAAGAAGCAATAACTCACCTTAGGAATATATATGCTGTTTCTGGCAATCTGTAGACCTGATAAATTGAGAAAAATATTCCATAAAATATAAAGATTAGGTTATGAAATCCCTACTAGACATCTTTATTGCAAATTCTGAAATTGAAGAGCTCTCATTTGGGAAAAGAAAACAAGATGTGTTTGTGAAGCACCAATGCCCCCTTATGGCAGCTCAAGGCCAAGGTTAAAGTTTCTCAAACATAGGTCTGACTCCAAGGTCAAGAGTTCAAAAATGGTGGTACCCAAAGAAAGGTCTTGTCACAAGAAACATACAAAAGGAATATGAAAGTCCTAGCACCAACCACTCAGAAATTATGTTCAAGGTTAATATTTTTTAAAAGTAGGTCATACTAAAAGGACAAGGTCATGCAGTAAAAATGTTGGTACCTAAAAAAAAAGGTCTTGTCACAAGGAATACAAACGTGAACATGAAAGCACTAGAACCTTACCAACCATTCAGAAGTTATTGAGAAAGTTGAAGTTTTTCAAAAATAAGTTGAGGTCAATGAGTAAAAATGTTGGTACCTAAAGGAGGTCTGGTCACATGATATACATGTCAAATATAAAAGCCCTCACACTAGTTATGGCCAAGTCAAAGTTTGGTAAAATTTTACAAAAGTAGGTCAAACTTCAAGGTCAAACTCCAAGAGATTATCGATAAATATGTTGGTACTCAAGGAAAAGTCATGTCACAAGAAATACATGTGAAACTATGAAAGCCATAGCTTCAACCAATCAAAAGTAATGGGCAAGGTATAATTTTTGTGGACAGACAGACCAAAAATGATATGCCCCTAAATCTCAATTACGGGGACAAAAAAAAAAAAAAAAAAAAAAGGAAGCAGCTAAATTTCGTAGTATTTCAATTTAAATGCAAAGTCCTAACTATATATATATCAGGTATACTTTAAAATGTCTGAGTACACTCAAACAAAATGTTCACCAATTTTTCAACCTGGAACCTTAGAGATGAAATTAAATTTATAATGTTTTATATTACCTTCCTTTATTTTAAGCTAAAAACCCAATTTCTATGCATATATGTAATTTAATGAACTTTTTGGAACATATTTTAAGTGCTAAACGCAGTAAAAATCTATCACTTGTAATTCATATCTGTTGACAGTATGAAATTCATTTTCACATGCAGTAAGTATGTGAATCTTAATTTCCTTTTTTTATCTGCCATATAAATGATTATGTGGTAGGTCTGAAATTTAAGACCAGTAGTGGACATTTCACATTTGTACTGGCATGTAATCAATCTCCTCCACAAATTGACAGTAGACATGTGAACTCTGTCCAGGACGCTTACCTTCCAGTTCATGCTCTCAAAAAATGAGCTGAGGCGGGCCTGTCCTGTGGTTTTCCCCCCACATGGCCCTGAAACACAAACACAAATGACAAAATGAACTGACATATACATTAAAATACCTCACAAATGCATCCCTGGTGAGGGATGGAGCCAGACCACTGAAATTCTCTGTAAACACGCCTCATCCATTTAAACTTTGTATGCATACATAAATTTACAGTATTTGTATATATACTGGCTGTGTTGATTCAGCTTTTCAGTTTTCATATTATTTGCCTTATGTCCAAGACTATCTCCTAGTTATGTCATAGAATCAAAACAATGTATGGATATTAAGGCAACGACTCTAAAAGTTTTATCTGACCTGAAGAAAACTCTTTTGCTTGACTACTTTAATACGAAAGTTACCATTTTAGTACAGTCATGAAATTACAGAATTCAAATTATAAATGTATGTGCCACAATTTATGACATAAAATTAATTCCTAACCTGTATAATATATGTCCTAAGTTATACCACTCATCATATACAATTTGTAAATACATAGTGCATATTACTATGAACTATTTACAGTATATTAGTCAGAATTTTAGATGGCTTGTGTTTGTACATGCTAACTTATATCATGTATATAAAATTGGAACGACTAGTGATTAATATGGTTGATTTCAGCAAAGGACTTAATTATTGAGATAAAATGTGTTTGTTCCAGAAGTTTCCATTTATTTGAAGTTCACTGATATACCCAGGTAGTACACTGCCTTATGTACAGGGACATGTATATACAGTGCATATGACTGTAAGCAGCAAATTAAGCTATGTGTATGCCTTAATGAATAATCATTATGGCAAATATTATTGCAAACATAAATTTAAAGACATTATTGCTAAGCTAGGTAAAATCCCACCTTCATACAGCGAAATTATCTTTAGAAATAAATATTCATCAAATACATGGCAAGTTCCAAATTTGAACTTGTCTTAAAACCATACTTTAACATGTAGACAGCACTTATAATCATTATAAACCATATGACTATGTTAAACAGCTTAATAATAAATATTCTTGTTTTTCTTAAACCTGTGTTGGTTACATTATACATGTTAATTATTACAAATCTCCCATTTTGTGTACATAGTAGGCAAATGCAAATATTCAGTTAGAGTATATGTACTTAACAAAGACATTGGATATAGATCAATATAGCAGTATATTTATTTATTGTGGTCAAATACCTTTGCTTTACATATGCATGATAAGCTTAGTAATGCAGTAAAATATTATGCCTAGAAGTTTCTAGAATACATAATATTTTCAAATGAGAAACTCTCCAGTATCAGTAACAGCATGTACTGATTACAAACACAATCTACAGATATCATATAACACAGAAAATGTACCTTTAAACCCTAAAAGTACATTAAATCTTAACCATTCTTAAAATAACTGCATGTAATCATAGGTATCTGATTTAAGAATAGAATGCACAACCTCAACCAATCAAAGAACCTACAACAGGCAACTCCCCTTCTCTTTTGAACCCAAACTGACCAAAAGTATAATATGAACAACAAAACCAAAATAAGGAACATTGACCCAAACATCAAAACTGGTCACAAACCTAATATTCTGCAAAATAATAAAAAACATCCATGAAAACTTTTCTAACATATAGGAAAACTTCATATATTTTGATTTTGACAGATAGTATAGGAAGTGTCTTACTGTATTTTATAACATACTCAGTCATACTTAATGATGTCCCTCACTTATGATATGTTATTAAATCAATTTTTTTAAAAAGAGTTTGCTATAATATTATCTTTTTAAAAAACTGCACATCTTGGAAATACACTGATTGGTATTTAAAAAGCAATTTGTCAAAAAATGTCATCTATTAAGGTATTCAATGTATAACGACCATATTTTGTATCTAATAAATGAATGTTCCGATATTTTTAATCATGGTAGCATTTTGAAGGTCTTATCAAATAAAAATACTCCACCAAAGGAATTTACAAAATTTTGATAGTTGTCCAATTAATTGCACCTTGAATTTTACATTGAAGTCTATGGGCAGCACAGGAATTATTAAGACACTGTAAAAAAGTAATTTGAATTTCATACAAATCTCTTAGTGAAAATATGCATAAACTCTCTCTTTATTAAAATCAGTAATAAAATTAAACATTTACCACAGATATTTTGACAAAATTAAAATTTTCTTCTTTTCATCAAGGGCAGATAACTCTTCAAAAACATTTAAGATGCAAAATGGCCGGCTTCTTATATGTTAAAAGTCATGTGAATTTGGTTCATTTTACTTTCATTGTTTCTAGCATTACATGTTTATATCTAGTTTAAAATGATTCAAAATTGTTCAATAGCCTTTCATTATACATTGAATACCTTAATAAATTAAACATATACATAAAATAAAAAAAAAAAATCAAAAAACAAACAAACACAACCCCAACAATTACAAAGCTTCATAGAAAGTGTTCCACTTTGCATAGCTTTGTAAAATAAAATACATTCACGAACCAAATATTTAACACAAGGAATCAAATAACACACAGGGAAATCTTTGCTAAAGTAATAAAGTTAATAAGATATAAAAAGTCAATTTCGGAATTTTAACCTGTATTATATTTTCCTCAATAAATATGTCAGTAATCCAGCTTTACACAGTAAGTTGTGTGATTAAATAATAACATGGATATCAATAAATTAAACATATGTAAAGCATGGTATTTTTCCCATATAATAATCATTATAATGTCCTATATCCTGACTACTCACCGATTTATTTCATGTAACTTATATGAAATTCTGTGATGGTAAGTGTATCTAATAACTTGCTGACCTTCCCGATCCTCAGTAATAAGAATACGTTTTTTTAATTAGAGCAAAGTTAGAAGAAAGAGGGCCAAGGTGTAGGAGCTACCTCACACTTGTTCACAAGTGTTGTGGAAAAGAAACAATAAATTAATGATCAAAGGATATACAAAGAAAATAAAAGCTACTGCATCCTTTTATCATGTTCGAAGGTATCCAGAGCTACAAAGTCAAAACTAAGACCACGTGCTCGTATCAAGTTTACAAACAAGTTTACAATCAAGCCATGAAAATGGACTTACCCCCTGTGAGCACGACTTTGTACACTTTATTACGATTTTTCCCCTCTTCCTGCGACATCACGAAGATCTGTTTGTGAATGTCTGTATAACCTCGTGTCAACTGAAGGGGAAATCGTAATGCATACCTCCTAAACAAATGGCAGAAGTGTCTCATCCAATAGTAAGAGCGCATGTAATGAGAAATCAAAACAGAGGAAAATATTTATAGATTCTTGAGCCCGATGCATTTAAGTGAACTCATTCTAGCATCTGGCAAAAATTGTGTTATATAATGCTTTCCAACTGGTAAATTTGAAGTATAATTTTGCGATTATGACGACTATTGAATGAACCATGGACTTATATACGTCCCTGATTGGATAGGTGTGATTAAAGGGATAGAATGCATTTAAAGAGTGTTCGAAGCAGGCTCGTAGCAACGGTTTCAAAAGAGGAACAACTTCCGGAAAAAATCTGACAAGGGGGGGCACTTCCCAACATTAACTGACAAGCAAGGCCCTCTGTCCCCTCCCGTTCTACAGGTCTGCGAAGAGTTTTATTCATGAGATAGTCAAAACAGGTTTGTTTAGATATGTTGCTCAGTCGGTAAACACCTGTAATTATAGTCAAATTAATATAAACTAAAACAGGAAAATATATTTCATTGTTGTAGATTTATTGCGAACAATAAATGTTAATTATACACCAATTTCGTTCGAATAAATGCACGCGACATAATAATCTGTCACATTTAATGAGACCGGATTAAAAACCTACATGGTTAGTCCTTTGAAGTTCCCCTTTCCTCCTACATAGGTGTCTTCTTTTCCAAAAATCAACATACGACAGCCAGATTATTTTCCATAGTTACATGTACCTCTAAGCTACTAAGCAGGGTGGGGTTACGGGGTGTTGCAACCCCCTTTGGATTTGCTAGAGAGAGAGAGAGAGAGAGAGAGAGAGAGAGAGAGAGTCACGAATATTTGTTGTTTTATTTTTCCAGAAACGTTTGGCTTCCGTCTAGTTTTACCAATTATTTTTTCGTGAAGTGATGCTTTACCGGTTTTAACTCAACATCATAAAAGTGAAATTTTGAATGATCAATTTGTATATTATTTACGTGAAACGAGATGGAGATTGACATCTGATTATAATTATAATATAATTATGTATCAATATGTAAGTGTCTCTCCAAGTTTATCGATTTTGAATATCCAAGATACCTGCAGTTGAAACTAACAATGGTTCATTTAATTCTAAAAAATTGAAATTTTGCACAACTTCAGAAGAGTATTAACTGTTTTCAAATCCAATATAACACCGCTGGGGTGGAGGGGACATACTTATGTTTCGGCTTGCAAAAGGAGTGTTTCTTGTACATATTGTTTGTTTTTATTTTTGGCTTTTTCCCTTTGAAGAACTACTCAATTCAAATAATCACAAAATAGGATGTGGTAGCGAGGTCGATATTTACTTACAGTAACGCAAATTTAAAAATTTTCTCAAACACTCTTTCTTAAACGGATCGATCTAGATAAAATACCGGGCTTTTAAAGGGCAAATTTTCAAATCACTAAAGCTAGGTGGCCTGATTTACATTTTAAAATTGAAATTCAGTGTTTTACTTTTATTTTAATTTTACGTATATATAATCAGTTTCTTTATCGTAACAAGACTTTGTGTTGTTATTAATTGATAGTATAAGGCCCGTAGAACGCAGGAGGAGGGGGGAGCTTTTTTCTGAGTATAGTAATTTTCCTTCAGATGCTGGGTGCCCCCTCCTTTTTTGCCGCTGTTAGGTCAAGAACTGGCATATTCAAGGATCTGGACAGTTAATTAGGGTTTTTTTTTCTTTCTTTCATATTCAAAGATAATCCAGTCTCTTACTGAAGAGAAGTAGATATGGCCTTCCATTTCTCGAGGAAAAAATAAACTTTCAAGATAAAAAAAAAAGACTGAAACGGCTTTGTGTAAACTTTTAGGGGGGACTTTAAGATGGCGCTCCCCTTAAAATTGTCAAATTCAATCTAAATCATGACTCGGTCCTTCTCTCTTTCAGGGGACAACATTTGATTCTAATGGGGGGGGGGGGTAGATTAGTCAGATTATTTTTTTTTCATGCCATGCAATCAAGGACAGATTATTTATTTTCAAGATGACCAAGGAAAGTTTATTTCTTATTTTCTTCTCCACTGGAAAAGTTTTGAATACTACAAAAGTCCATTAAGTTCATTTTCTTAAGTTAAAAAATAATTTTGCTTTATAACGCGAAAAATATATTTTTTTTACGTACGAAAATGAGCTCAATGGATTTTCGTAGAATAGCAAACAAACAAACAAACAAACAAAAAAAAAACCCCTTTATTTCGGGAGTAGGGTGGGGGGATAGAGTAGCACCAGTCAAGGACAGAATATTTTTTACTTGCCAGTTGAGGACAGAATATTTTTTAAAACATTTTCTAGGACAGATTTAAAAAAAAAAAGAAGCCAGCACCCCCCCCCCTTTCCCCCTATATTATTGCAAGAAAGGAGCTTTTGATGTCTTGTTTACTAGCCTTTGATTTCATACATTTAAAAAAATGAATTCAACAAGAGCTTCTTCCCTCGTTTTCATCATTTTTAATAAATTTATTGAATCGACTTATTTAAGTTCGAATTGTCCTGTACCCGTGACATTCCTGTAAACAAATCAACAAGTGTAACAGAAATGACTGTAATCCTTTTTTAAAAAAGACTATACTGAAAAAACCATTTCCCAACAGACAGGTAAATAACAACGGTAGAAATAACAATATAAAATATCTTACAGTGCAAATGGTGCCAATACTAAAAATCGTTTTATGTTAGGTTCCTCTAGTTAAGACTGCCAAAGTGTTTTGAGCTACAAATCGCATGTTTTTATTGTTTTAGTAAAGCATTTCGAGAAATATTAGACCACAAACTAGTTTTTACTTTTATTAGTAATTAGTACATCAGTGTATCCATTGTGTCAGAACGGGTTTATAGTAGTACTGTCATTTTGCCCCAATCCAGAATGCATGCGCACCCCAACAACGAAATTCGTCGAAACTATAAATTTTGGACAGAGACGTCTGTCCAAAATTTTTATTTTCGACGAATCTCACTGAGATTACGATTTACCCAAAAGATATTTATGGGTGCCCAAGTACATGCACGAGCACCACAAATTCAATTAATGAGCACCCAAAGTTCATTTCTTGAGTACCCCAAATACATTTCATGAGCCCCCAAATACATTTCATAAGTGCCCAAAATAATTTCATGAGCGCCTCATATACACTTCTTGAGCACCCCCAAAAATTGAATTGGTATAACATGACGACCAATAATACAATATAGTTTTTATGAACCAAACATCGTAACTGTGAAGTTGTTAATAAAGATTATGAAATATTCCTTCACATATAGTGCTTTATATTGAAATTCAAGCAATAAATTTAAAAACTTAGCAACAACACCCCCCACCCACCCCAAAAATACTACAAATTTACTTATATTTACATATTTACTTAAGTAAAAAAAAATCCAAAAACAAAATACGAAAACCTATGATAAAAACACCTTTTCTCCAGATTTTTTCCTCTTTAATATCATTATAAGGTTAGCATTTAGTTTTGGTCAGTTTGTGAATTCTAGTTTTTGGCAAGTAAGACTGATCTTAAAATCTTTTACATTATTTATTTATTCACAGCAAATGAAAAAGCTACAAAATTATTTTCAAAACTACACCATTGCTTGTTTACAAGTTTCAGAAGATTGCAGCATGTAATATTGGGTACTTGTGAATTTAATTTGGTAAGAAGATACATTAACATACGCATACTTGGACACTCATAAAAGAAAAATTATTAAAAAAAACTTTGAGAACTTTTGGATTTAAGGTGCAGAGACTATAGTACTTGTCAGAGTTTCTGCTATCTATGTCCATGATGGTTGCACTAAAAAAGAAAAAAAAAACTTTTTTTCTACATAAATGAAATACTAATATACAGAGATTTATTTGTTAATGATTATGAAAATTAAAATGCCTGTGATAAATGCCACCAACTCCTCAAGAACAGCTACAAAAGAAGATGTAGAATTATAATAACTTGAGGTATTTTTTGCATATATTTTAACAAAATTCAGATAGGAAAGTTTTAGAAGTGTCATTTTTCTGATCTGTATTATAAGATAGAAACTACTCAATTAGACCCCCCCCCCCCCCACTTTTTATACATTCTTTATTTCATGCAGACATATTTAAAAAATCTAACAGTCATCTAACAAGCTATTTTGTACAGCTCTGAAGAAAACAAAACATGTATTCCTACCTAAATGTTATAATTTACCTTTCTTGTTTTGATGAGAAAATATCAGAGAAGAATAATTCCCAGTTTGAAATGTTGATTTTAGTCTAGGAAAAAGAGATGGCAGAACTGTTAGGAGGAAAGGCAATTTTAGAGAGTTTACGTACAGATGTGTCTGACATTCAGTGGGCCATAAATGGAATCCTCTCCCGGACAGGACCTGTTACTGTCACGTCCTGGAAGTTTCCTGATAAACAGAGTGCTGATCTGAATGTCGAGGAACTTTTAGATTTATACAGTTATAGTGAAGATGCTGAGGATAATCAAGTGGCCCACATAGCCCTGTATGAACTAGTCATTGACAGGTAACCGTGCAGTTTACACTTTTGAATTATCATACACTAGTACAGATGGTAACAAGACGCATACCTCTAATGCATTGTCCATTTTGCTATAGTGTTCAAACTAACAGTAACATTTTGTTTATTTTATAAGCCATTGAAATCAGTTTTTTTTCATGTATTTTTAGTTTGTTTTAACTTAAAAATCATATGTCATAATGCAGAGTAAAGTATCAGGTATATTTTTACATCAGTACCCATATAATAAATTTTGACTTGTAGCCAATGAATTTTTAAGGTATCACAGATGACAGTGAATTGCAGATAAAATTAAATGTAGATTATAGAAATTCAAATTTTCTATGAGAATGTTACTTCCAAAGTATTACTCTGTAGCTTCTATTTACTGGTTAACTCTGTTACTTTTTTGTTTGGTATAGATTTGTGTTCCTGCTCCAGACCCTGTCCACTCTGACTCAGCAGATGTTGGTCAGGGCAGGGGAGGACATCACTGACCAGAGGACCTCTTCTATTGGTCTAGTGGTCAAACAGTTCTGTAACAGACAAGTACAGCTCAACACAGTTGTTCAACAAACCATGTCTGATGTAAGTTACAACAACTCAAAATGTACTTAAAGTATGCTGGGAAAAATTTCCGTGGAGAAATAGTGTAAATTAATACCATGTGGAAAAAAGTACTTCTACAGTATTAGTTAATGAAAATGATTTATATTTTGCAAGTTATAATTTCTATATATACTTAAACAGTGTACATGTATAATATATAATTAAATATACTAGTGCTATGTATTTACCAACCCACAAAACTGCTGGTGACTTTGGAAAAATAATTACATTTACATGCATATGCTGGTTTATATACAGATAAAAACAAAGTCCAGAGAGATGATGGACTTGGAGAACAACATGAGGAAGATGTCGGAGGAATTATCTAAACAGAGTGAAACAAGCTCCCAGAGTACACAACCTTATCACTTTAGTCCTCACAAGGTGGGATCCGCCATGACAGGGTTTGTCACACCAAGTCAGATGGAGAACATAGCTCGGGACGCCTGCACCAAGTCATGTCAGACAGTAGAAACTGCATTTGTTCCTTGTGAGGGGTGTCATGTTGTACAGAAAAACTTCAGAAATGCTGGAGATGTTATCATAAACATGTGTCAATCTCAGAAACTGCCCTCCTCCTTACAGAAGTACCGCCCTCTGGTGTCCGAGGTGAAATGGTTGTCTCCCAATGATGTGATAAGATGGGCTACAGAGCAAGCTAAAGATCTGGGTCGCATCAACAAACATATGGAAAATCTAATGGCAACGATTAATCCCCTGAAAGAGGAGCTGGAAAATTGTGAACAAAAGTGTAAGAAACTGGAGAGAAGAGTGGCAAATTTTGATGCCGAGATGAGAAAGGAGAGGGAAATCCAGACAACACTGCAGAAACAGTTTGATGTGAAGTTAACGGACATTGAGACTGAACATAAACACACTGTGTCTCTAGTGACTAAACAAATGGAGGAGGTCAAGTCTAATAAAGAATCTATAGAAAAACAGCTCACAAAGTATAAAGCAGATTTAGAATCACAACAAAGACTTCTAACAGAATTGGGTTTGTACAGTTTAGCTTAAGAAGTTCAGTGTATGTACCAGGAATTTCATAAGTAATTTACAGTTGAAAAATAAAAATAATTCCTGTTGTCATTGAAAATTTAATGCTTTTGGATTCCTAGTTATTATAGATTGTATATTGCTGATTTCTCCCTGTAGAAGATACCAAGAAAGCCTTAGTTGATGAGCTAAAAGTAAAGCATGCGGACTCCACAGAAATTGAGAGACTACAGCGTCACCTGGACAGTGTTCAGAGTCAACTACAGGAAGTAGAGGAAAAGCTGGAACGATCAGCAAAGGAACTGTCTAAGGAGCAGGCTAAAAATAAAAGTGCTGCCAAACATAATCAAGTATGCAACAACAACATTGATTTAAAATCAAAATTATCAGTACAGTAATTGTTCCTTTTGAATTCATTCTGTAACTGAAATTTTCCCCACCATACATTGACATTTATATGGATTGAAACAATCTCATTGTATTTATACCATTTCTTTGTCAATCTTTCCGATCCTAAATCCAGAACAGTTTTGTTCATTTCATTTGAAGTTATATAAGAATTCTGGTTTTTCTTCTCATTTTGTAAACAGAGTCTGCAGACAAAGCAGAGTTCCTTATTACAAAGGATAGATGACCTTGATCAAGAAAACAGAGAATTAAATAACCAAGTGACAGAGCTAGAGGAGGAAAAGGAGAGGATAGAGGAAACTCTGGAGAAAGTACAGAAAAATGTCCAGCATTACAAACAGAAAGTCAAGGACAACCAGGTACAAAGTCAAGTCTAACGATGTGGAAAGTGTATTCAAGTCAAAGGTTAACATGCATGTATCTGTCAAAATAATGTGAGATCACATTAGAAATTCAGATATACATGCATGTATATACATACAGTATATTGTACACAGCAAAGAAACTTCTATAAATATATGTGTCATTAGTTGCCAGATAAAACATTCATGTATAAAGTATGTGATTTTATAATTTTGGTATAAAAATGTTTCTCATGGGGAGAAAGAGCAAATATCACTGTAATTTATAGAAAACTCAAGCTGGATAAGTTGATCAAACTCTAGATCTGCAATTTAATTTAAAAATGCTTTTCCATGTATATACCTGCCTACTTGGATAGGTAATCATTTGAAATGGAATAGGTGTTGTGAAATTGACATTGGTTTCTAGGTTTGAGAGATCTGGTTCTTGAAGTATGATATGTTATACTGTATCTCCATTTTATATGATTAATCTGCTCATTTATTGTTAAAACTATGACTAAGTGATGTGAAAAGCTTTAATATAAATTCTAAAGAATTTTCTTGTATTTTCCCATGGTTTAAGATATGTATATTTTATAGGCTTTAATTGATGAACTGAGTTCACAGAAGGAAGAACTTGAGGGCTCTATAGAAACCCTGAAATCAGACATACAGCACCTGGAGAGTAAGCTGGAGGAAGCCGTGGAGCGTGAGAAACTCATGATAGAGTATCCGGACCTAAATGGGCCAGTGAATCCAGGCATGAAAGGTTATAAAAAAATCCAGATCTCTGTTAAAATCAGCCATATTATTATATACCTGACTCTGTCGTTCAGGTATAACTTTGTTCTCTGTCAATATGACTTAAATCATCAGTCCAAGATTTGAATCACTCTACAAAAATTAATTATTGTAGTAAATTAAAATAATTGAAATTGAACTTTAACAGGTACTGGGGACATTGTGACTGACATGGAGAATCAGGTCAAGGCCAACACAATCCGGATCCAGATCCTGGAGGAGCAGAATGAGACACTGAGGAACTCTGTTGGCAAAGTCCTCGGCATGCAGCAGGGCAGGAGTCCTCCAAAAATAGCATGGGAAAATGTAAGATTAAATGGCTGCAGAATAAATAAACTTTTACAAATGTGACTTATCTAGTGAACTTCTCCAAGTATGGAAAGGATTCTTTCTAATGTGATAACTTCTGTATAATAATAGATACTCAGACATGTATTGAATCAATCTATGGTGTCACTATAGTCAAACAAAACTGTCTTTCAGACTGGTCCGATGCACTTGTGGACAGATGAAAACTTGGAGAATGCCAAACAAGAAGATAAAAATATGAAGAAAAATATATGGATTCCAGACAGGTGTACATTATTAAAAGAGATAAAACAAAATTTGCTGAGAGTTGTCTTATTCATTTAGTCTCACTTTTCATGCACATTTTTTAATAAAAAATTGTTTATTGTAGTTCTTATCATGAGAACCATAATAGCAATGCCAGACCTGAACATGAAGAGAGACCAAGAACCAAATCTTCAGGAAAACCAAGATCCTCGGGGTCAACATATGGGGTAAGAAATCAAGGAGGAAATAAATTAAATGCTAATAACTAATGAAGTCCGAGCCTGTATTGTATGATTATTAATCAGTGTGTGGTTACAGTTCTGAGACAGAAGAAATTAAGCTTTTGTGTTAAGATATAATGGTATAAATGTGTGTAGAACCCAGTGTCTGATGAGTTCATTGTTGGGAGAGGCAGCAGACCTTCCAGTGCTGTGAAGAAAACGGAACGACCTGCCAGTGGTAAAAAGATGGTAACAGCTCCCGTCAATGCCACCAGCATCAGTGCTTATATCCAGCTAAAGAGGGCAGGAAAACTCAACATGGAGGACCATCCCAAATGTAAATGTCAATATTCTCACAGTAGAGTTATTTCCCTTGCACATGTGCCAGGATCATTTATTTAAATAAACATTGTTACTTTCATTTTAGCGGCTGTACCACCCTCAGGACGAGAGAGGAAGAAGTCACCTCAGGAGAAGCACCCCCAGTCTGCCGATCCTCACCCTAGACATAACAACCATCTCTATCAGAAGACAGAAATGTTCTCATGTGCTCAGTGTGACAAAATGTATTCAAGGGCAAGAGACTTAGAGATACACAAATCTTATTGTACAGGATGAATTATTTAGAAACATATTAGATGCTACAGTTTTACAGGAAATCTTACCATGCATACAATGCCCAAATCATTTTGCATTGTGCCATGTAATAGACTATTGAAAGGGTCTGCTGTAGACTTGTAATAGATGAATATTGCCTGTACATAATCTTGGTCTTAGAAATCTGCACAAGATTTTTGCACTTTCTTTAGCATGTTTCCTTGAAATGCACTGATAGCAAAATAATATATACATGTACTCAAGGCAGTGGGAATTTTTAATCAAAGTGTATCGGTACCTTTGTGTTTAGAGTACATGGGCCTTTTTCATCAGTGAAGAAATATATAAAGCTTCACCATTCCCTGCAATTTTACTATTAATGGAAAATTTACTGTACAGAAAGTTAATATTTAATTTCTATGTTAAAACATACACCATACCAATAGCTGAGGGGAGAAAATCTAAACTGCAGTCAGGTTATTTATGCACTTGCATATGCATACATACATGCTTATGTCAATATAAAACATTCCGTCCAAAATGGAGAAAACTCAACTCTATATGCCCTAAATTAGTACATGTAATTGTGCTTGTTCTATATTTGTTGATATGATTGTTAGATATAGTGTAATTTATATGTTGCAAGGTGCTCAGTATATGGAATAAATGAATAAAAGTAACATACCAGGTAGTTAGAGTCTTTGGATTTCCTAATTACTAGTATTACACAGCTGAAATTGATATAATTTTCTTAGATCAGATTCAAAATTTTAAAATATTGAATCAATATAATTTTTATTCTATTGCTATCTGTTTTTGGCCATTGTCTGTTGTGCGATGTGCATCAGGCGTAAACTTTTGAACATTTTCAGCTTCTTCTCTGGAACCAGTGAACTATTTCAACCAATATTGGCATATAGCATCTGTGGATGAAGGGGAACAAAAATTATAACATTCATGGCCCCTGCTCCCATGGGGCCTGAGGGGTGGGGCTAAAACAATCAAAATTAATGCAATATTTAACAATCTTCTTCTTTACTCCTGGACATCAAGCAGTCAAACTGTTGGCATGATTGTAATAAACATTGAGCCCTCCACCAAAATTGTGAAATTCATGGACCAAGGATCAGGGGTTCTGGTGCTAGGGTCGGGCTCTGTTGAATGTATAGTGAAAATGCATTATTCCTTAAAAAATCTTCTCCTCTGCTCCTAAGTATTCAGCAAACAAACTAAATGCATAGTTCAAATGAGCAAGGGCGTCTCTTCTCAAATTGTGAATTTCATGGTCCCTGGGTCAGGGTGTCTGGTATTAGGACATATTGATTATATGGTGAAAATGCATTAATTCTTTGTAAATCTTCTCTGCTCCTTGATATGAACCAAGTGCAGGGCTAAGTTGAGCAAGGGTGTCTCTTCCAAAGTGGTAAATTTCATGTCCCCTGGGTCAGGGATTCGGTGTGTGTGTGTGTGTGGGGGGGGGGTCTATTGATTTTATATTGAAAATGACTTGATGCTTTGAAAATTTTCTCCCCTGTTCTGGGTACTCAGCAAACAACTTAATGCATAGTTATGATGAGCAAGGGTGCCTCTTCCAAAATTATGAATGTCATGGCTCCTGGGTCAGAGGTTCTGGTGTTAGGGCAGGGCTCTATTGATTATATAGAGAAAATGCATAAATTCTTTGAAAATCTTCTTCTTAAGCTGATGAACTGAGTGCATGGTTATGATGAGCAAGTGTGTCTCTTTCAAAATTGTGAATTTTATGGCCCCTGGGTCAGTGATTTTGAAAATCTGCTACCCTATTCCTGGGTATTCAGCAAACAAATGAAATGCATAGTTATGATGAGCAAGGATGCCTTTCCAAAATAGTGAATTTCATGATCCCTGGTTAGGGGTTTCTGGTGTTAGGGTGGGGCTCATTTAATTATATTGTAAAAATGGATCAATTCTTTGAAAGTCTTCTTCTCTGCTCCTGTATATTCAGCAGATAAACCTGTATATTCAGCAGATAAACCAAGTGCATAGTTATAATGAGCAAGGGTGCCTCTTTCAAATTGTGAAATGTGTGGCCCCTAGGGGCCAGGGGTATCTGTGGGATGGGGGGCTCTATTAATTATATAGTAATGCATTATTTCTTTGATAATCTGCTCTTGGGTATTAAGTACATAAATAAACTAAGCATATAGTTATGATGAGCAAGGGTGCCTTTTCCAAAATTATGAATTTCATGAGCCCTGGTTCGGGGAGTGCTATAGTGGGGCTTGTTTGTTTATATAGTAAAAAAAACATTTATTCTTTGAAGTGTTGTATTGAACTCAGGTGATCGCTAAGGCCCTTGGGCCTCTTGTTTGTAAGTAAAATTATTTGATTCATTAGAAATCTTTATGTCTCAAAGGTATGTTTTGTATTTATTACTTCCCTGAATACACTAGAAGTCATACTTGAAGCAAGATATGCATTTTGCAAATTTGCTATATATAATTATACCCCACGCAAAAAGTTGCGGGGGGTATAATGTTTTTGACCCGTCCGTCTGTCAGTCAGTCCATCAGTCCTGTTTTTTTTTCAGCACAACTCCTCATAAACCACTGCACATAATTTCGTCAAACTTTGCAGATATTTAGGACACAATGTGTAGATGTGCATATTACCAGGAAATTCCGATTCCTTTATTTTTTCTGGGAATTTCGGCACTTTTCAACTTAGATTTTTGGCCATATCTTGTATATAGAGATGGACAGTTTGTCAGCGCAACTCCTCATAAACCGCTGCACAGAATTTCGCCAAACTTTGCAGATATTTAGGACACAATGTGTAGATGTGCATATTACCAGGAAATTCCGATTCCATTATTTTTCTGGGAATTTCGGCACTTTTCAACTTAGATTTTTGGCCATATCTTGTATATAGAGATGAACAGTTTGTCAGCGCAACTCCTCATAAACCGCTGCACAGAATTTCGCCAAACTTTGCAGATATTTAGGACACAGTGTGTAGATGTGCATATTACCAGGAAATTCTGATTCCATTATTTTTTTTTTTGGGAATTTTGGCACTTTTTAACAGATTTTTGGCCATATCTTGAATATCGAGATGAACAGTTTGTCAGTGCAACTCCTCTTAAACCGCTGCACAGAATTTCGTCAAACTTTACAGATATTTAGTACACAGTGTGTAGATGTGCATATTACCAGGAAATTCTGATTCCATTATTTTTTTTGGGAATTTTGGCACTTTTTAACAGATTTTTGGCCATATCTTGAATATCGAGATGAACAGTTTGTCAGTGCAACTCCTCTTAAACCGCTGCACAGAATTTCGTCAAACTTTACAGATATTTAGTACACAGTGTGTAGATGTGCATATTACCAGGAAATTCCGATTCCATTATTTTTGCCCTAAGAGTTTTGCCTATTATTGAAGAAACTTTCCAGCTAGGTAAAAAGAAAATCCACTGGAATCAGCTTTTGTAATGAAATTTTATGTGAAATATTTCATGACCTTAAAAGACCCCTATTGATTTTGAGATCAAAATATTAATGATTTAACTCACACACACACACACACAATCTTGGATAGTTCTCTCTCTCTCTCCCTCCCCCCTCAAATTGGTGCTTTGCCTTAAATAATTTCATAAGTACAGTATATGAACAAATTCATATGACTATATCATAATTTTGTTTCCATCAATTATTTTAATGTGTAAATTGTCATGTGTTGGACATGGACTTACACTCATTAACAAATCGAAATCACTGAGGAATTTAAATTACAGTTTGTCAGCATAACTCCTGCACTGAATTTCCTGAAACTACCGGTAGGTATTTGAGACATAATGTATAGATTTGTATATTACCAAGAAATATCGATTCCATTATTTATCTAGAAACTTCAGCCCAATTAAATTTGTAACATACAACGATTTGAATGTCCTTATATGCAAGAAGTTTTGATGTGATGATTTTTTGCAAGTAATGCCCCTTTTTGAATTATACTGTGTATTTAAAATGCACTGTGCCATTCATTACGTGTTGCATTGTCGAGTTTTGGGGGAGTGTGGAGTATGTGAGCTTGCTCACTTTTTCTTTCAATTTAACATATTCCTTATACAGATATAACAAATTATAGATAAAGCGAAGTAAATTTACAGGTCCCTATGACTTTGTTGTATGCAATTTTACTGGATAATCATCATGTATACAATAATGCCTGCTTTTTTTAAAGTAACTTCTACTATCATGGTGGTTATTGCAAAGATCAAAGAAATGTGGCAGCCATTATTCTCCAATAAATCACAAATGTTATCAACAAATTATCAATAAATTTAAAATGTTTTCCTCTAATTTTGACTGCTTTTCTATGAAAAGAAAGCATCATTTGATTGTGACATTATTGACTGAAAAAAAAGTTACTTGATTCAGATTACGTTGCACTTTCTCTAGTGTGTTAATTGCAAATGAACAAGAAGAAGCATTCAAATGTGACATCATAAGACACTTTTGTTAATGCTGAAATCTAGCTTATTCAATTAAAAATTCGCCATAGCAGACTAGAAATAATTTTCTTGTCATCAGAATTGTTGAATATACCGATTTTGTTGGAAAATAAAAACCAAGCCCAAGGTATATTTTTCAGTAATTCCTCTAGCCCAGGAATTATTTCTTAATTCAATAACACAAACTCATCTTAATTTTACACATGTATTTATTTTGAAATGCCATGACATATTAGTAACAAATGATTTAGTCCATAAGCTTAATGTAAATTGCACTTTTATTTGTCAGGAACAGAACTTGTACTCTCTGCATATCTGCATATAACTGCAGAAATAATTTTGCACATAAACACACACTGAAGCTGAGAGGCCTTGTATCTAAGGACTCAGTCTGTCAATAAAGAGTCAGTGGTCCAACTGCTGGCCAGTTACTCCACACAAACATGGAGGGTCAGTAAAATGACAGCAGACACCCTCACTTTTTCTTGTCCTCCTTACAACAGATGACATATCTCTGCGCCACCAGGAGGGGCGGGGAATAACCATCGGGGTAAGAGGTGTCCTCAAACAGCACCGAGTAATCATCCTGAGGCTGGAATCAAACAGAGATATTATATAATTATTATATAATACAAACTTTCATACTATTTACCCAAATTAACTACCGGGAGTTCCACATTCATTGCTGCACTAATGAAGGCAATATTTGTATAGCTTATTATAATAACAGGCACTGTAGCATAGATAAACTATTGGTTCTAGAGCTACACTTTAAAATAACCAAGATGGAATATCCATTTTTTTTATCCGCTTTTACATATTAAAAACTCTAATGTAGGAATTTTCATTCAATTGGCTTGAAAATTAGAATTATGTTGAACGAAGCATACCTTCCGAGGAGGATCATGGATTAAAGCTCTGTAAAAACAAGTGGTCTGTGGATACAGAGCAAGGACAAGCTGTAATAGAAAATAGACCAGCATTTAGCATACGATTCTGATAGGGCCATAACCAGCTGCAACAGAAAAAAAACAGCATTTAGCATACAAGTCTGATAGGGCCATAACCAGTTGTAACAGAAAATAGACCAGTATTTAGCATACAAGTCTGACAGGGCCATAACCAGTTGTAACAGAAAATAGACCAGTATTTAGCATACAAGTCTGACAGGGCCATAACCAGTTGTAACAGAAAATAGACCAGCATTTAGCATACAAGTCTGATAGAGCCATAACCAGCCGTAATAGAAAATAGACCAGCATTTAGCATACAAGTCTGATAGAGCCATAACCAGCCGTAATAGAAAATAGACCAGCATTTAACATACAAGTCTGATAGGGCCATAACCAGCTGTAACAGAAAATATATGAGGATTGCAACATGTTTTACAATTACTTAGCTATGACGTCTTGCAATTTCTCAGCTTTGATGTCACAGCCTACCCCACTGTATTATAAAAAGACAGCTTTATGTGAAAGTATGGAAATGTGCTAAAGACTAAAAATAAGTCAATAGGACACGAATACCCTGCCCAGGCTTCATTAGTAATGAAAATTTGTATTAGTATATAAAGTTTGATGAAAATACCTTGAAAAGTTTCTTTTAAACTGAGTTTTATACACAATAAATAGTAAAGTCAAAGGTCACTGGGAAGATCGATGTAAAAAAAAGGACACAGTTGGTAAATTCTCACCAAATAATGTATCAGTGCACAAGCGTACATAAAAATATCTCAAACAGTTTATTTGAAACTGAGCTAAACACAAATTCAAGAAGAGTGAGGTCAAGGTCACATAGAGGGTCAAGGCAAAAAAAAATTATGATGCAGTTGAATAGCTCTCATCCATATGTATAAGCATATGAAGTTTGATAAAAATATCTTGAATAGTTTCTTTGATACTGAGCTAAATGCAAAGTGTTATGGAAGGGCAGACAGAAGTACAGAAAGACAGAAGGACACAAATGACAAACACTATATGCCTTGGCCATGTTTATGACTGGGCATTAAAATGTACAAGTAATAAACAGAAAAAATCAATGTTTTCTAGTTGGATATGGACAGCTGGATATGGAATTCATTTCACTCCTGAAAAGGATTTTTATTTGTATTTTCACTTGTGCTTTCCACTTGTGAAAGTATGAGAAAAAAAATTCTGTCCCACCTATGAAATAAATTCCAATTACAAAACATTTAATATCCTCTATTTATTTAACAATGAGGCCACAATGAGGGATACTTACAGTGTCCTTTGTAAACAAAGCATCTGGATCTGTTTCTGGATTCGCCTTCCAGATAGGAAGGGGCACTATTCTCCTCTTGCTAAGAGTGTGTCTCCTTTAAGTATCAAAACAACATTCAGTCATTCATGTTCCGGTAATGTAATTTTCACATCTTTATATTGTACAGATAATCCATGTATTATTGTGGAAGTAGAAATAATTTGAATTCTTCAAAAGATCTTAAAAATGACTTGATTTACTGCATGATCAGCTACTTAACACACCACTTAATGTACATTAATAAACAAGGAATAAGTTAATTTTGTCATCATAAAGTTACCCAGAGAATAAAAAATCAAACTTACTCCTTGCCCTCGTCAGCATCAATATCATCCACATCATATTTATTAGAGCTTTGGCTAAAACTGACCACTTCTGCAAGTATCCAATTCTCCTCATCATCAGACTTCACCCGTGCTGCCACCTTGTCACCAGGCTTAGCCACATAATTATTGTCAGCTGGCATGGCACCACACAGAGGTGGTGGTCTACAGGGAGAACAAAATTTTCATATAGGGCTTTTATAGATAAAAGTTTAAGGAAATAAAACCAAGGCCAAAAGGGGTAACAGATCTCAAATTAGTGATTTTACACCTACATAAAAATCATGACTCTGTCATTTAGCTAAATGTATCCTGAGAATTACTATGGATGTAAGGTGGTACTAACAAAATCCATGAGATATAAGACCCAGTGATAATAATAGAATCATTCATTACTACGAGTGTGGGATAGTGAAATTCCACCAAGGGGACAAGATTCACGGTCTAGGACGAGGCTTTGCCGAGTCCTAGACCGTGAATCTTGGCCCCGAGGTGGAATTTCACTATTCCCACACGAGTATGTAATGAATGATTATTTTTCTCGCATTATTTTATCCAAAATAACGGCCTGTCAATGACGTCGCCATGATAGGGCTAAAAATATATTCTTTTAATTTTCCATCTAATTAAAAATCTAAATACACCATCGGAGAGAGCGTACCTGAAAATGGTTTACACATAGTGTAAACTGATAAAATGAATTTCAGTCCATGTAAATTAATTAGATAGATAAAAACTGGGAATAAAAAAACTTATCTATTCGATAGCATACACATTCATTCAAGAAGAATCCTTCCGCGATTTAAAAATAGTGCCATTTAAAAAGTGAAAATACGACAATATTTTGAATGAAAATAAGTTTATCTTAATAAGTTAAATGACAACATTTTAAGTATATGTAATATTTTTTAACATTGTTACAATTTCTTTTTATAAAAACGGAATGTTTACGTTATCGTTCGCGGCGTAGTAATACACAGTGTAAGACAGAAAAATCTCACACTGCTGTCTCACACCAGAAAAGTCAATCTCACACTGGTGATTATGCGAGAAGTAATGATTCCATGTCTTGTCAGAAATCTGCCAGTATGTTCTTACTTTTCTCCCGGTTTGCTGACCCACAATGGCAGAGTCTGAGCATTCTGTTGTAGCATTGACATCAGAACCCCTCGCCTCATGATTGGCTTTGGCCTGTCTGAATCTGAAAACATTACATCCAAGAATAAAACGTTAAATAAAAAAATCTCAAATTCTAAACTTGATTTGCTGAATACCATAGATATAAATATTGATCCAGTGTTGCTAAAAATCATTGATAAATCCATTTGTTTCATGACAAGAAATCATCATCCGCAAGGGATGTCTACGGACATAGCAAATATTACTTGCTGATTGTCTACCTAATGTCTGGTGACACATAAGGCATCTTGCTTTGCTGTTATAACCTGTGCCTGTTGGCAGATAACTTACCTACCTAGTGGCACATAATGCTTTCTGTGATAAACATGCATCCTGTTATTAAATTTGCTAAGTAGCAGAAAGGGTCTTTTGTCAGTATAACGTGTATTGACTGTAAATTTATTTGCATAGTGGCACAAAAGACTTCTTGCTAATATATTTCGTTATTTATCTGCCTGTTGGCTCATAAAGTCTCTTGCTGATATTTACTCACTCACAAATAGAAATTGATTTTAAACAGTGATTGTACTAACCTAGTCTTCTTGTTTCTCTGATGCTTTTCACTTCCGTTATCTTATCCAGAGCTTTTCTTAACAACCTGCAAAACTTGATATTACAACTTCTATATCATATTCTATTTATGATATACTGTGCTTCTCTCTTCTTTGAAATTGATAAAAGCAAATTTTTGTCTGAATTAATTCAATTCAACTTCACAATACAAATTATGTAACAAGAAAAAAAATCTTCATATAACTTTCAACTTATAAAATATCCTGAATGGAACTAGCAATATTATTAACTGTCTGCTAATGATTCACTGTCGGCTAATGTTCAATACTTAAAAAATCAACAAAGTTGAGTTTAAAAATAGTTATTTTATAGAAGAATGAAAAGGAGGACTACTCTCTGATACAGTACTCTGCCTCTAACTCAGCATCCTGCATAGCTGTTTTATACAGGCCCTTCAGCTTGTTCTTGTAGTATGGTGTTACTAAAAGATGACAAAATATACAGGTTAAAGTCCATATTGTTTGGTCTGTTCTACATCAAATTTTGTGTTTCACACACTCTGTACATGTAATTCAGCAGCATTATATGCTATCCTACTATGACAACAATGAAATATCTGAATAGATCAATTATAAAAGTTATTCCAACTTTAAAACAAGAAGCCCCTTCGCCACAATGCTCATCTGAATCAATATGGCCCTGCTGTTCTTCATCAGCAGATTTTTTTCTATTATATATTTCTATGTAAAACTTTGATCACCCATTGTGACCCCAACCTACCCCTGGGGGTCCTGATTAAAACAAACTTGAATCTACACTACATCAGTATGACTTATCATGGCTTTGCTGTTCTTGAGAAGAAGAATTTTTTCCATATATATTTCTATGTACAACTTTGATCCCCCACTGTGGACCCACCCAACCCTCAAGGGTCATGATTTTAACAAACTTGAATCTACACTACTGGAGGATGCTTCCATATCAATATAACTAATAACCATGGCATTGCTGTTCTTGAAAAGAATTAAGATTTTGAAGATTTTTTCCTATATATTCCTATGTAAAACTTTGATACCCCATTGTGGCCCCCTCCAGCCTCTGGGGGTCATGATTTGAATCTACACTATCTAATGAAGGTTTCCCTTAAGTTTCAACTTTTTGGTCTAGTAGTTCTTGAGAAGAAGATTTTTAAAAGATTTTGCCAAATTTTCACTAATTCTTAGTAATTATCTCCCTTGAAAGAGGCTTTGGCTCTTCATTAGAACAAAGAATCCCCTTCACCCAAGGATGCTTTGTGGCAAGTTTGGTTGAAATTGGCTGAGTGGTTCTTGAGAAGAAGTTGAACATGTGGAAAGTTTACAGATGGACAGATTGATGACAGACAAAATGTGATCAAAAAAGCTCACATGAGCTTACTGCTCAGGTGAGCTAACAATCATTGCCTTTATAACAAAAAATTATTGAATTATGTCATATCCATGAGTAAAAAGATTCAATTTCAATCTCAAATTAAAGAAAGAAAGATGACAAAAAGGTTTGCTTACTTTCATTCTTACTTTTTTGTTCCTGTTGCATTCTCTCATGTGTCTTAGAGATGTTTGTTAGATTATGTTCACCCTGGGCCCTTTCATCCTGTTTAATAATCACAATGTGATAAGGCTCAGATTTCTGATACCAGAAAAATACCTGTTATATGGTAGACAGTATTCATGTTCAAAAATATGCAATTCAATCATCATTACTGGTAAACACAATTTCCAAATACATGTACTAAAAAGCTCCTTATCAGCATGTTTTGTTGTAGGTCATAAAAAGAGGAGATTTCAGGTTTATTGATATTTTTATGGCAATTTACAAAGTAAATGAAAAATACATGTTCAAAGTTAACCCATTTGAATGATACAATGCATACACATGTACCGGTATATTTTATTCTAATTTAGCATGCAGATGCAATACTATCAGATAAATTTCTGGCAATAATAATTCTTTACATATCAACTTTACAAAAAAAAGAACTACACAGAGATGATTGGTCTACTTATTCCCACTAAAGCACAGCAAGTTTTGGTGAATTATATAATACATCCTTGATCTCTTAATGAGTATAAATCAATTAATAAATAGATGGTGACAGAAATTTATACAAATGATAGATACTGTGGAGAGAATTTCCATTCAAAAATGTTCATTTGTATAATTTAACGTTACTTAGACTGGACCTTCTGAATGGAGGATACTGTTGGATTACCTGTATCTGATGAATTAGACCATACAACTCTTTTAGAAGGTCTTTGATTCGAGTCTCTGCTACAGCTGTGCTGGTAGAACTATCAGATGTAGAGGGACTCTGACTCGTTCCCCCTCCTCCACTATTTGTCTTTGTTCGCCCCATCTGTTTGGATATCAAATTGTAGGATTTGAATACAACTTATTCCCTCATTTTTCAAAATGAAATCTGAAGACATCTGAAATTAACTCAGTAAAATGTTGATAAAGTCTTAGATCAAAAAATTCCAATTCCTTTTTATATAAAAACAGTTTTTTTTATATACAAAATTAAGGGGTCTAAAAGTTTTTTTTGCCACTTTGGTATCATTAAAATTTTAACTATCTTTAAAAGTTTCTGTGGTTTTATATATATATATATATATATCATTAAGCTTTTCAGAATAGCTTAATTTAACTATTTTAACATACTTTTTTCCATAAACGTGTAATTTTTTTGCAGCATGTACAAAAAGTTGCACTTAGGTACAGTAATATTATTCAACTTTGAACTCTTCTGAAAACAATGCATATAAAAATCGCTCATCAAATTGCATCTCCTTTTGGAGACTTTGTACTCAAAGTTCAAACAGATTTCAGGCTATATAAACATATATAGATATATAAAACATATGATTTGTCTCTGCAAACAAATTCAACACTCAAAAGAGAATGCACATCTTTCATCACTCTTACGGGTGTATTGTATAGTCATTAAAGACTTTATGTCAAGCTTCAAACGAATATCTTGTCACCTTACGGCTTACCTGTTCTTCTCACTTTGTTTTACTCATTTATTTCACGACGTGCTCAGGTGCTGTTCATTGTTTATACCGGAAGTTGATCCGAACTCGTACATCGACGCGATGGGGATCTACTTATTATCTTATGTTTTAAGATACACTATTCAGTTGGTTTGAATTCACATTCTTTAAGCCAGAAAGTAACAAAAATAGTGAATATTTGTTAGAGGACTTCTTAACAGCTTAAGAAATATCTAAGCGTGAAAAAATTTAGTATTTTATATTCGAGTTTGGTATACACTAAAACTGTAACAAATTTGCTTAAGCGCTTTTGATACGATGAATACGATTGGTCAGTGGTAGTTATCAACAAACATGGAGGAAATAGGCGTGTTCATCTGTGGTTGCATTTTCTTTCCTTCATGTTTTATCATAATAAGATATTTTCTGTATAAGTTCTTTGGTTCACAGCTTACAGATGGTGACGTGCACAATGTCACAGAAAAGTGAGTATTGTTGGAGTGATAGATTCACTGTAAAGAGGAGCGAATGTCGAAATTACATGTCAATGTAAGCCGTGCTGGTTTATGCATACATGTATTTTGTATATGTAATAGCATAGTTAGGTGTACGTTTGGAATAAATTGGAATATCATAGTCTCGATGGACATACACATTGGATTTTTAAGTCTTTAACTTCTTTATTTTGCATTGTCTAATGAGGAAATTTCCGTTAGATAGAATTGTGTGTATATAAACAAAGTCGACAAGTTTTTTTTACATTGTACATGCACAAAACATATATATGTGCATGGTTGAACTATCTCTCTCTTTCTCTCTCATATTATGTTTTTGATAATTTAGGTGTGTTTCAAGTATTCAAGCAGCAGTAGCAACCGTTGTTGGTTTATTAATAGCAATCAAGTGCCAGAAAGATATCATGACAGACAGGTGTGTATTAAACTATAACTTGATTCCTTCAAAGAAACATTTTTTCTTAACCAAGCAAAAAAATCCATTGAAAACCATAGAGATTCAATATGCTGAACACTTACAGATTCTACAGAGCCCAAGACTTGGTGAAGTACACTTGATAAGTTTTAGGCCAATAAATTCCTTGCCTTAGCCTGTATATATGCATATATTTATAAATACATATGTGCATTGATTGATGCATCATTGTTGTGCCCTAGGTTGCCATACAAGTACTTGCATTTTACAGCATTTTAAAAGTGTGTATAATCAACTATCATTCAACTCTAAACCTGCTTTTAGAAGTAAACACTGCACCTGCAGCATCAACAGCTAGAAGATAGAGTGTTTTGTAAAGCATCTGAGTTTTGTTCAATTTATTTTCTTATTTGACATGCATTTCAAATTCTCCAATTTCATTTCAGATACATGTGTTAATTCTTTGTATACATAAAGGATGAATTGGTTCTTTTGTTTCAATATTAATATACAAATATTTCAGTCTTCTTCACTGCTTACATGTACATATATTATGAACCATGTTGAAAAAAGAAAAAAAATTTAGAAAAAATGCCTTTGTCTAAATAAGTAATATTCATATAGCTTTGATAGCATTTGTTTCATAATCAGTTTGTTCCTTTTGACAAACCTTTGTTACTTCATTTTCTTTTGAACTCTGTATTTTCATCTCCTCTCTGAATCTTTCTAGAACTGAATTGTTACATATGAAGTAATTAGTAACAATGCTGAAATAGAAAATTGTAAACATTTTATACAGCTAAAAGGGTTGAACAAAATAATTGTAACAATGACAAATGAAAAATTATATTTTTTAGAAGCATATGAATATTACATGTACAAGCATGTAGATGTCCCTTTAAAATTATTATTGTCTTCTTATCTGTGAAAATAGGTATTACTTTTGGAATATCACTGTGGCTTTGCAGTCAAAGAATGTAATTAGTGCGTTGTTTGATGTCAGATAATAACTGCTATATTTATTAAGAAATGTTTTTTTTTCATTAAACAAATATTAATGGTTCAAATATTTTGATCTATTGTAAGCTGCATAAATAGTTGCATATATATATAAAGCTGCATAGGAACTATGTATTTTATAATAAAGTGATAAAAGCAGTTTTATTTAAAGCTTACATGTCTGTAATGAAATATTTTTTCATTATTCTGTTGTGAAGGATCATAGAAAGATACAGGATTAATATTTACAGAGACTAATCAAGAGGTCAGCTGGACGCATGTCTGCTCTATCTAGTCATCAGATCACTAGTGAAAAATATGTTACCAATTGAGAAATACTGTGCATCAGTTTATGATTTTATTGAACTAAAAGTACTTTCATTGCTTTTTCAGACATTGGTTGACCAATACATATGCAATTTTTGGGATACCCTATTTCACTTATGACACATTTGCAATGTACTTTTCATATATCTATACCAAGCCTGATGTGCAATCAAAACCCTTTCTACAAAGACTCAAACATTTTGCTGAAAACTCTAAAGCCATGCTGTGTCATCATCTTCTTTTGCCTCTTATTTTATTCCCATCAATAATTGTAAGTATTGTCTTTTTTTTGCTTCCAAATTTAGTGCAGTTTTCTGTACATTCACATGTGTATATATCAATGTGTAACTAGATTGTTTAAAGTCAAACCTCTGCTAGTATTTCTGAGATCTTACTGGTTTCTTATTAATTACACATTGCAAACACTTTGATATCAGGACTATGCTTGATGTTAAAAAGCACTATTTATTTAAAGGAAGTTTTTAGCTAGAAAGCAATTTATATCTGGTTTCATTTAGTGTAAAATGCACACATTTTTTTTCTTAATTTGAAGAACACTATAACTTGTATAGCTAAGGATACTAAACATGAACAAATAGAGACTTTATCATTTTTGCTCTTCCAGTTTTTCCGAAAAGGACTAGGAGACTTTTTTGTTGGAGTTTTGTATATGTGTGAATTTACCATTCCATTTATCTCGGCAAGGATGATTCTAGCTCAGGTAGGACTGAGATCAATTAACCTCTTCAACAAGATCTTTTATGGTGCAATAAAAAAACAGTGTATGAAACACATGTGGCATTTCAGAATCTCTGTAATTAACATATTATAAATTTCAGTAAGGTGGAAGATTTTCAAATTCATTTGCAATTAAGCTAGGTCGGACAGATCTTCTTACTAACATGACAGTAATTAGATTTTGATGGTTATATACTTGGCCTATGAATCAATCATCATTTTAATGATTTGCTTGTGAGGAAATTCAAAATTCATTCATAAAAACAATTGGATCTTTTTTGAGAGCTATGTATTTAAGTCTAAAGTCTCTAATCTTTGAATTGATGTCGAAATATTCATCCATTAAATTTTGATGGATTACAATACACTAACCAATATATTCAGAATCAACTGTTAAAAATATAAATGATCAATAATCAATCAAGGTGAGAGTTAAAACTGATGTTTGAACTGCATGACACAGGTGTCTATCTCTGATTCAAAAGAGGAAATCAAATAAAATCCAATTACCTCAACCTCAGATAAGTTTTGGGAAACATCTATATTTGATACTTAATTTATCTGCCATTCAAAATTCAAGATCAATCAGTACATTATTTGTTTTTTAACAATAAAATAATTAATATATGTAAAATTCATAGCACTTTCTGTCAGTATATATATATACATGAGGTTTGATTATATTTTCAACATCTGAAGGTCTATATTTTTGCAAGAAGAATGACACTTCAGATTTGTTGAGAACTTATGTAAAGTTAAAATCAAGGTTCTTTGATCCTGATTCTTATGACCTTGTTTTTGTTAACAGTTACAGATGAAGCACACCTGGTACTACATTGTGGCAGGACTTTCCATGATCGCTTCATTCCTTATTTCTCGTGTGCTGGTTTTTCCATTTTTGTATTGGAGATATGCAGTTTATAGGGGTATCCCCCTTTCTCAGGTCCCCCTTGGGATCCCCTGGAAATGTAACATTGGTTGTCTGGTCATCTTGCTTCCCCAGATCTATTGGTTACTCCTCATGGTCCGAGGGGCAATCAAATTATTCTACAAAATCTATTTCAAGTCCAAACCACAATGATACAAGGTGGATAGAGAATTTTTTGGTTCCAAAGACAATATATTGCCTATAAATTATGTTAATACACGTACCTCATGAAAGAATTCCAAATATAGATGTGTTCATATTTTTTAAATATTTGTAATACATGTATACCAAAACTGTATTCATTACTATTTATTGTCATAAAAACCCCCAGATTTCTTTGATTGTAGGGTACAGTTCTTTTTCATGTTTTTTTCAATTATGTAAATTCAATCCTTCCAAAGTATTACTTCATCTTACAAAAATAATAAAATATATATGATATTTTTAACACACCATGTAATAATATCTTGCATATTCCTTGTTAAGTGTTGACTGGATCTCATGGCCACTCCCCATCTTAACTGATGAGCATAAATATATTTCTATCTATTGGTATATATGTATATAGCATTGTAAATGTAAAATATATTCAATGTTTAGTAGCTGAATATGGAAATTACTTCACAAAATTCCATATCTGTCTACAAAACATGGAAATTTTTGCTTATTACATTTTCTTGGGTTTTCCTTTCGCCCCTGTCCTTTTTGTATTTGCTATGTTGTAGAATGTAATGTCATAGCTGAGAGGTTGTGAGACAACATAGCTTAGTGATTATGAAATTTAAAATTGTAAGTATGGATTAAAACAACAATTTGTAGAAACTTTGGCAGATTTAATTGTATCGGGATTGTTTACCTATTCATGCTTTCTGTCTGTGATGGGAAGGAAAATCTCGAGTTTTGTTACAATTTTTTATTTTAACTGTGAAAATATCACTTGTAAAAATATATTTTTTTTTGAAAGGGTCAATTGCAGTATTTCACTATTGAAAATGTTATAAATTTTATTATTTACCAGTTAAGATGGAGAGTGTGCATATGATGGATCTCATTGCATGTGACAAAATGAAACATGGTGAACTACAGTGTAATTTTTTTTGTGATTATTTAGCAGTTGATTTGTAATTGATTTATTAATGTGTAATTTGTTCATATATGCTCAAACATTTCAGGTCACATGATTAGCAATACGTGACACATAATATACATGATTAGCCTAATTTGTACCAGTATAGATTTCATGACATCTATGTACTGGCCATAGTGTGTTACCAATACTTATTTTAAGAAATATTCTAGTCATAAAAATTTATGTATTACTGTTCTAACAATTATTTTATTGGAAAGTGGAAAGGATAATTCATTGTATGTGAAAGCTATTGTTCTTAAATGTCAATTTTTGGTTTTCCAAGCAGATTTAAGGGAATTCCCACCTTCATATGATGTCATAGATTTTTGCAAAGTCTTTCATTAATTTAACTTTGTGCCCAATAGAAATATGTCATAGGAAAATGTGATTAAATGTGTGACTAAAAATATGGTTTGGTACAATAATTTAAAAGGTTAAAATCTTTTATAAATATTTAGTTATTCATTCTTTGAAAAAATGCACAAGGGAAATAACTCTTACATATGTTTCTTCATTTATAATACTTCTATTGTAAAATGGTTTCCATAATATCCACAATTTATACATATTTATTTGGAACATTCAATATTTTGTCATTTGAACAAGTTTTAACACAATTTTTTACAGTGAAACTCATTTAGTGCGAACATGGATAAACCAAATTCAAGGATATAGCGATGTTTTTTTGAATCCCCAACGAAATTCTTAACAAATCCTAGGAAGATATAATGGTTTAAACGAACTCTGATATAACCAATTTAAGGATATAGCGAACAGAATTTCTGTCCTGTAGGGATTAAAAATAACGAAATTTACATCCTTTATAATGAATTTTCAATATCTCAAATTTCAAAAATATTAAAATGACATTATTTTTTTTTATCAGTATTTAGATTTGAAATTCCATTTGTCAGAAAGATTTTAGTAGAATTTTATATTTAATACCTTCCAGAACATTTTTGGTAGTCATACTTGAAGGAGAAGATGCATATTGTGAATTCGTTATATATTTTAAATGAATTCGTTATACGTCAAATATAACGAATTATGGATTTAACGAAGTAAATTCACGGGTCCCATGGACTTCGCTGTAACCGAGTTTTACTGTATAATGTTGTTTACCAAAATAAGTGATTTTTTTATGCTGACATATAATTCTGACTTCTTAAAAAGGGGGCAAGCTATATTTTTTGGTGATTATTGATAACATTAATCTTTATTCAGTGGAAATTAATACAGTTTCCTACTTTGATCCCATGAAAGTGTGAGGGTAGAGGCACCTTAACATGATTATGCTCAAGACATCTTAACACAGCATGTGATGAAGTAACTGTTCTGCTGGTCAGCACAGGTTGTGATCTTACGTGATCGTTCTTTCTATATGGTTATATGTATACACATGTTAATATACATGTATGAATGCTCAATAAATATTATTTAAATTATGAATACTCTTCATAAAATGGATAAATAGTGCCTCATATTTAATATACACTGTTATAACTTCAGAGATAGGTCTGGAGAGGGATTGATGTGGTTTTTAGTTAGTTTGTTTTTTTTGTGAGCTGTCTGTCCACTGTTGAACTCAATAACTACTGTACTATTTCAGATAGATTTATCATTGTTTTTTTGGTCAGCGTTTTTTAAAAATTGTAACATAGGAATTTAATAATGCCAGGGTCATTTTTGCATGGACTAGTTAGAAAGTAAAACTAAAGTATAGTTTGCATTTTGATTTTCTTATAATGTCCACTAAGATAAATTGTCATTTTTAAAAAAGTTCAAAGATGGGAACAGTTGTTAAAGCTGGGAACAGCTGGAAAGAGAATGAGGAATTTGATCATAAACAATAGTTTACTTTTCCCTCTCAACTCCGAAAAATGTATAATTAATGGATTAAACACATCTCTTCACATTAGCTGCTTTTCATGTGGTAAATGTTGATGAATGAATATTGACAGTGTGATTGCCACAGAGAGTATTTTTTATTGTAATTAAGCAGTTGATTTTTGTTTCAGTTCATGAGAATACTGACAATATGATCAATAAGTAATTTATTATTTTTGATGATTTTGTCATCAATGCTATAATATTATTAGTCTATAGTTATATCAGAGTATCAGTTTAAGTTTAAAATACTGTCAGTTTGAAATTTTAGATATCCACTTTAATTGTGGGATTAAATTTTTACTAGCTACAATTAATCCTGAGAAATTGACAGGAGTAATTTGAAGGGGGAATAAATCCATCCTTTAGTTGACAGCAGCGATCAAATATGAAGAAGGGATATAAATCAAAGACTGTTGTTAGATTCACTTTACTGTCAGTTTTCTGAATAATTTGAATGAACTCTAAAAAGGCCAAAGAACAAGTCAGCTAATATTTTATCTTTATGAAATCTTAGTCTGAGTGACATATTAAATTTGAATTCGTCATGTAAAATTTTCGATTTTGTCATTTTAATTTGATTCATTTAGCTAATATCATTGTTTAGCTTTTTTTTTAATTGCAAAAACGCCCTGTTTCATTTTCTTGCGAAATTTTAAGCAGAGTTTAAATCTGGTTTAATTTGAACTTACAATTATGTAACAGTAACCAGTAATTTATGATTTCAAAATTGATATCATGACATACCTGTAGATAGAAAAAAGAACAGTTGATGCTACTGTGAGAAGATTGTCTAAAATTTATCAGATAGGATTTTGAACATTAACATTTAATTAATTATGAAATAAAGTGTTCTGGATATTGAAACACGCCAAGAATTAAAGTATATGATACATGTACTGTCTGCTCTAAGAAAATGAATACTGTGCCTCTGTGTGAAATAGACATTGTTTTTATGTTGATTTTACCGTACATGTAGATATTATTGTCTTGGTGAAGTACTTCATTCTGTCATCCCTCCAGCAAAAGTCATTCATGTTATCATGTATCAGTACATGTACTGTCGGAAGCTGATTCCGCAGATTCAAATCTTCAACCACGAAATCAATCCCTTCGAACCAACATTTTCATCAAACCACGAAAATTTGACACCCCCAAAAAAATAGGAATATGCGATTTTACAGTACCTTAATAAGATTGGGATTTATAAGGTATATTACTTACAGTCTCATATGAGTGAAGTTATTAACTTAGTATAGTGTTGATTTATAAGGTATATGACTTAGTCTCATGTGAGTTAAGTTATTAACTTAATATAGTGTTGATTTATAAGGTATATGACTTAGTCTCATATGGGTTAAGTTATTAATTTAATATAGTGGTGATTTATAAGGTATATGACTTAGTCTCATATGGGTTAAGTTATTAACTTAATATAGTGGTGATCAATTTTGTAACATAGGTGGCGTTACGTAACCCCCTTTCAGGTGTCTTTTAACGAGGTTCGCTCCTGAGCTTTTGAGCAGATTTTCATTTTAACCTATATTTAAAAAATTCTGGATAATGTTTTAATTCTTACAATAAATTTGGATTCTACAATGCCAAATAAACTATATTCAGTTAAAACTCCATGATTAAATTCCATACCAAAAGCATTAAGTGAGGAACTATATTTTGTGGCGGAAGGTTTTTTAGAAGAAAATGATAACTTTTTCTCTTTTGAAGTATTTAAAGTATGTTAAGTTTGGATTCCTATTTTTACATGCAGTCTGCACACAGAGTTATTTTGTGCAGTGAACTGTTCTATACTGGTCCTAAATTATATATTTAATAAACTGTCATGAATTCTATCATCATATTTGATAAATATAGCAAATATATTGTGAAAATCAAGAAAAAAATAGCCCTAATTTAAGTTAAAAATTAGCACTTTTTTAATAATATCTAAAAATTAACATCACAGACCCCCACTTTTAACTTTCTTTTCTGAATACATAAGATACTTTTAACCATTCTTCTTTAATTCAGTAAAATGGCATTACTTTTTACTGAGTTGTTTGCTTGTTAAATTATTAATGCTAGCAAAATGAAATTTTTTTGAGTGCAAAAAGGTCAAATAATTGAACATGCGGAGTAATTTGAAAATTTTTTCGTTGTCAAAAATTTTAATGGGTCTATTCAAGATGAAATAAAACTGTGCTTGTTCCCGTAACTTATTTGAATAAAAAATATTGGAGGAAAACTGTAAAAAATGATTTATGTGTAAGACGTTTTACAGTGCAAAAAGGTCAAACTAAATGGCTCTGTAGCGCCAACAGAAGCGCATTAACCCCGATTTTTTGATTTGATTTTTAATTTAGCTATGTGTATAAATTCTAATACAATTCTCATTACTTTTGATGTCAGGATCCAACCTCCTTAAGATTTTTTTCATGTGCCTCCCCCCCTTCCCCCGATTTATAGATTAGAAGTAATATCCCTAGCAGGTCAGTTAAACAAAGAGAACCCTAAAATAGCTCAAAGAAGTGTACTTTCTTACAAAAAAATTTCTACAAAATCCTATGGCCTAAATTGTTGAGTTGTAATATATTGGTTGAAGCGTGTTATACATGTAAATACCTCCCATGGTTATGTACGACCTTTGTGATCATACAAAGTATATGACCTTCCACAACATGCGCGGATCTAGAGGGGGGGGGTAGGAGGTGTCCGGACCCCCCCTGGAATTTGCATAGTTATTAAAAGTAGATATTGAAGTAGATAAAAATAATGACCTTGGACCCCCCTAGAAAACGTGGACCCCACCATCACTACCACAAATTAGGAGTTTTCACGTTTAGAAAATGCATTTTACGATATTTTTTTTTTTTTGCTTGTCAGGGAATTTTTTGGGGTTTTTTTTGGGACTGGGATGAACCCCCCCCCCCCCCTTAGGAAAAAATTCCTGGATCCGCGCCTGCACAATCCTAACATTTAAATTTTTTTATAAACAAGACTTAACCCTGTAGAAATAATAATGGCTGAATCTAATCTAGCAAACCTTTTAGTTACAAGCAATGTTTGTACCAAGTATAATCTCCTGATGCTCCTCTAGGTCTTATAATTCATTTTTTTTTTAATTCATAGCCTCGTGACCTTTTGTAGTTGACCTTTTTATATGGTTAAGAACAAGCAACCTCTTACCATGCAAGGATGAACTTCTCGTATTCAAAGTTATATCCAGATTCCGAGTATATCTTTGAAACCAAGCGGGACAAGAATTTTACACTTACTAGCTTTACATACGGAAGTATTTACATGTTTATTGAATTTAAAAATAACAACGCAGAATCCACAAATTTCTTAAATTTCGACAAATTAATCTGAAAATACCAGATGCATAGATTTAAATCGCAATTATTGTAGAGTAAACTTGAAGGGAAAACACAACGGAACGTATCATTTTTATAAAGTAAAAAAAAAGTAGAGAGATTAGATCTAGTTCATCTCCGATGAACAAGTGTCTTCTAAGGACAGATTTAGTTTACATCCTTAAGTTCTTTTGCTTGGTGTATACCTAGTATATAATGTTACATCCCAGGATATCCTTACAGGAAAATATTCCGTCAACAAGTAAATTAACTTAATTTATAACTTCACTGTTATTCCCCCTTCTTCGCAGTG